GGTAAGGACAGGTTGATGTAGTATCGGTCAAACACGAAAATGGCCTTCAAGGCCACCAAGGCTCAGGCATTGGACAGTTATTCAGTGTCATTAAAAAGTAATTAGCTATCATTGCCAAGGCCATCCAGAACACAAACGGGCAGATTGATTCAGTGCCAGTCAAAAAGTGGCCTTCAAGGTCATCAACTGACAGGTATTAGGGCAGATTGCTTCATAATTGGTCAAAATAACAATTGGCATTCAGTGCCATCAGAACTTAATAGGCAAAGACAAACTAATTCAATGTCAATCAAACTAGACAGTGGCCCACAAGGTCATCCAGGCTTGTATAAGGATAGATTGATTTATTATTATTCAAAACAAGAAAGTGGTCTCAAAAGCCCCAAAGATTGCTGGACCCAGCATCATCCAAACGGGATTGACTGTATTGAAAGTGGTCTTCAAAGGCCCAAGGTTTGATTGAGCATACAGTTTGAGTTCATATCAACAAACAGCAAATGGAGAGTGGTCGTCAAGGTCCCAAGTCAAAGCGAACTTTGCTTGCACAAATTGTATCAGAGGAACTATGTAAATTGAAAGAGGCTTTCAAGACATGCACGCAGATTAACCCTAACCCTCCTCAATGAAGGATTCAGGAGGGTTAGGGTTAAAGTCATCTCAGCAAACAACTGGTGGAAAGTGGCCTCCGGGCTTTCCCATAGGAAAAGAGATGTTCAACTCATCTAAGTAAAAAATTATAAAAATCACCATCAGCCTTTACATTTCTCCAAACAAAGACAATAGTTTCTAAAGTTTTGTCAGTGATAAAAACCAAGATTTCTATTTCTTTCCTCTCCAGCAATCGATACTTCCCTCTGAGGATGAAATCTATGATTTCTTCACCCGCAACTTCGACCCAGAACCTGAAGAGCTGCCAAAAATGTCGGAAGAGGATGACATCCCTCCTGAGGACCGACCGGGCCCCAGCGCAGCCCCTGAGGGAACAGAAGAACCTGAGGAAGCCCCTACTGGCAAACCAACAGCAAAGGGTCAAAAGCCACCTACAGGGTCCAAGGACAAGAAGGAAGGGGAGGAAAAGCCGCTACTGTCGGAATTCTTCCTGGACCGGGACAACTGGAAGGATTTCCCGACGGAGATGAAGGGCCCAGAATTCGTCCTGTTGAGGGACCGGGAAGACCTGGAGAAGGGGTATTACTTTATTCCAAGTGTTGCCGCAAGTGAGTATGAAAAATTCCTCTTGGGTTTCTCCCCAAGTTCATGGAAAAGCACTGGGAAATCCTTTCACGGAAGTTCATGGAAAAAGTTCTAGAAAATAGGAAAACACGAAGGAAACATGGAAGAAACGTATAAAGGCATCACATCTTAGAGCATGGTTGTTGAAGCTGTGAAGGAAACTTCAGATGTTGTTTTAACATGGAAAGTCACTCCAAAAACCTGGTTGTTCTCCTCATGGAAAATCATTGGAAAAGACATTGAAGAAAATGGGTCAAGCATAGGGATTTTCTTTACAGCTTTACTGTGAGAGTCCTGGAAAAGCCCCAAAATTGCTAGAGAAGGGCAATAAATTTCCACGCAGGCACTTCATTCCATGAATGACTTGACTCAGCATGCAGGTCTGCCCATTTGACTTGACTCAGCAGGTCTGCCCCATTTGACTTGACTCAGCAGGTCTGCCCCATTTGACTTGACTCAGCAGGTCTGCCCGTTTGACTTGACTCAGCAGGTCTGCCCCATTTGACTTGACTCAGCAGGTCTGCCCCATTTGACTTGACTCAGCAGTTCTGCTCATTTGACTTGACTCAGCAGGTCTGCCCCATTTGACTTGACTGAGCAGGTCTGCCCGTTTGACCTGACTGAGCAAGTCTGCCCCATTTGACTTAACGCAGCATGTCTGCCCCATTTGCACACGTCAAATCAGGATAAATGTATGGTATATTTGAGATGATGACGGTGGCGGAATTTTTCAAAGAGCAAATTTATTCTTGCAGTTCCCGTTGAAGAGAAGATTGCCGGAGAGACGGAGCCTCGCTACCTAGAGGACGAGGGATTCTATGTTGGCATCAGGCCCGAGATATCCATACGCAACCAGAACGTGATGGAGCATCGACTTCTGAATCGTCCTGATAAGGTACAGCACTTACAAATCCAATTCATCTATCAGATTAGTCATTATCTCAGACTATTGCAAGCTATCACAGATAATCACAAATCACCACTAGTCGACGTACAGATCCAATTTCAAGTCAAGTCACTCGTCCAATCACAAGGCATCACAAGGTATCACAAGTCTGCTCTGACGTCTAGTCACAATGCATCACAAGGTGTCACAAGTCTGATCTGAAATCCAGTCACAAGGTATCACAAGTCTTATCTCAAGCCCAGTCACTAGGCATCATAAGGTGTCCCAAGTCCAAGTTCCAGTCTAATAACAAGGCATCTCAAGTCCAATCACAAGGCATGGCAAGGTAACTCAAGTTCAATCACAAGGCATCACAAGGTAACTCAAGTCCAATCACAAGGCATCACAAGGTAATTCAAGTCCAATCACAAGGCATCGCAAGGTATCTCAAGTCCAATCATAAGGTATCGCAAGGTAACTCAAGTTCAATCTCCAGTCCAGTCAGAAGGCATCATGAAGCATCACAAGTAATCTCCTGTTCAAGTCACAACTTGAGCAAAATGTGGCAGAGCCATACCTCCAACGTTGTTTGTGCCTCTCATTTTAGTGATTCCGACCCGACTTGTAACTTGACTTACTTACATCTGATTCGAACCAGCCAGCTGACGCAGGCAAGCTCGGTGGTCGAGTGGTTAAGATGTCTGCACTAGTAAGCAGGAAGTTGTGGGTTCAAGTCCCACCTGAGTACACTTGTGGGTTTTTTCACAAGCCTTCGGGGGCATACACTGAGTAATACAGTGATAAAATACATGTCAGGCAGGGTAAAAGCCCAATTGACTTACAGACTTTTAAATGAGGGAGGACAAGTTTCCTGTAGTCTTTTTCCAGAAAAGTGCATAAGATGCCCCCACATTTAACCTCACAACTCCCCTTCAAACTCCCCCCCCCACAAAATTTGTTTCTTGGGCTGCTTGTGTCTCCCATATACCAAAAGACCACAGTACAATTTCAAAATGTCCAAAAACGGTACCCCAGTTCCAAAAATGGTCTATTTATAAAAATCCATTTTTTAGAACATTATATTGTATTGGTAACTTATCCACACTCAGGGTAAATGTTGGTTTGGTGACGACGGCCGCATCAAGGTTTTGCCAGACCCCCTGAAGGAGACACCTACCAGGCCCAAAGTCCTCAGCAACGAAGAGCGGGATCCCTGGCTACAGACGGTCTACAAAAAGGTAGGTACATTGAATTCACGTAGCATTAAGACTTTAATGAATGGAGATCATATGATCAGTGCAATAGGATCGTATCCCATCACCAAATACAAAACTGAAAGTGGCGTGTGACGGTTCCATTTTTTTTTACCCAACAGCAAACCCTAACTTTTCAGTACTTCCTTGAGAACATGAAACACAGTTTAAGAGCACCCAAAATGGTCCTATTAGCAGGCCTCAACCTTCAGCTTTTTTAACTAGCACGTCGGGCAAGGTCACTTATTTTGTCATTAGCCTGCAAGAATTTCAGTAGCCCACTGACATTGCTTAGCTAACTTTGACTGGCTTTTTTTCAACTTTAGTAACTGTTACAATAATAAGTAATGGACAACGTCTGAAATCGAAACTCACAACATTTGTAACCTTTGCTTTCATTTTTACAAATAAGACAAATGATAGTTTTCAAACTAGTAGGTATTTTTCCACTAGCCCATGGGGCAAGTTAATGCATTCTAGTCAACAGTAATTTGTACACCGGTCTGTGGTAACTTCTGGGTTACTTCACAATGCACGGCTTGGCAGTGTAACATGATGGAACATTGCAATCTACAGTTAATAACGTGGTCATTTTTTCTCTCTGGTCCACGATTCCTCATCCCCTCCCCCCGTCTGTTTGACCCTACCCCCAATCAGGCCGTGACGACTGAATTCGACCACCGCTACATCGACGGCCTGGGTGACAGTCTCCTGTCTCAATACCAGCTGGACATTGACGTCAACATGCTGGCCTTCACCCACCATTCCCTCTTCAGCAAGGAGCACGTCTTGGCCTCCAAGCTGCAGCAGATGTACAACCAGTTCTTGAAGACCAAACAGAAAAGCACGGCGCAGTACCTGACGGAAAAGGTAAACAGCACCTAGCTACTTCCAGATCTCTCATAGGTACAAAAATCAGATAGCCAACATATTTTTATCTTGTTTCTGATATCGCATTCAATGTAATCTATTAAAATGGGGTGGTGCCAGACTGGGTTTCAACCTTACTTTCAGTATTTTTAAATGCTGCTTAAGACATTTAGAAATAATTTACCACAAATGTTAAACTATTCAAATATTTATTTTGGTTACTGTTATTTTTCTCCCAGGTCCCGTCAATGAAAAGTTTTACCTCATTTTAATTCAAGATGGCTGACACACGTATACAGTGTGTTTAGTTTGTGGTGACGGTGACTTGATGTACTGGACCGCATAGGTATTCATCCTGTCGTCTGTTGAAACGCAGTGTAATTTTTACATGCCCATTACTTTCTCCCACAGCTTCAAGCGCTGAAGCTAGCCGTGCATAACCTGGAGAACCAGCTGGCGGTCCTGAAGTCACGCAAGCTGGACCCGGAAGCCACCGTCGTTGACCAGAGCTCGCAGAGAATGATGGACTACAAGAACGAAATGAGGTACAAAAACCCTGCCAATACCCTTCTCTCGTATTGGCCACTGTTGGTGTGGGCAGCCAGAGTTTTCAGAATATGACACCTTTAATAGTTGGTTTCAGGTTTTGCAGAAAGACGGATATTTATGTAAATTAGTCCTTAAACCTAAAAGGGTTGAATATTTTAACTTTCTAAAAGCCTTGCAAGAGGACATTTGGGTATTGTTGGACTAGAAAGTTTGGTTGATCGAATTTGTAATCAAAAGAGGAATAATTGATTAAAAAAACAGAAACTTCCGGGCTCATTTGTTGCTGATATTTCTCAGCACAGGAGTGGATCATTACTGTTGGTTTTAGCTGCAGTGTAAAACAGCATTCAAATCTACTTTATTGAATTTTGTAATTTTAGATTTTGATTAACTCTGTCCAAAATACTCTATTCCATTGGCCGTAACCAATTTATCGTAAGCCAGTTCTGGGGTAACGTAGACGGTATCTGATCCCACACATTTTTTTGCCTTTGTGCCTAAAGGGATGTAAGACGATTGCGAGATAATCAACTGCTTCACGATCGTCAGCTGCTGCGCCACATCCTGAAGGTCTGGAAAGAAGTGAAGGCGTTGCGCGAGGAGCAGGGTTACACCAACACCCCTGTCAAACTCAGCATCCACAAGTAAGCACGGGGAATGTCGCATTACGATTTTCTCCTCTCCTTGGTATTCGTCTTTCAACACCCGCAGCTGATTTCCCAAAATGCGGCATAACACGGCACCTTGCGTGGGCCTTGTGCCAGAAATTTCTGCTTTAGCCGCACGATGTACTTACGGTCGATTTCATGAAATGTTGCTTTGCTGTGCAACTTGTGTAGTGTTAAATGCCTCGGACAAGGACGATCACGGCCTCTACGAATGGGTGTTTAGAATGTTACAGCAGTCACAAAACAGTTGTTGGATTATTTCCATCTGCCATTTTGGAAAAGTTTCATCTTTTTCATTGGAACCGGCCGAAATTCTCAAAGTTCTCTCACAGACATGCTAACTTTGATAACCTCCAAAAAAAGTTGCACGTCTCATGTATAAACTGTGTTTAGTTAACAGCGATAACGAGCTTTATCCAAACATAATTAGTATTAGCTAAGTCGTTCATTTCCATTTGTTTGGTGCAACTTATGCTACGTAAAATGATTGCATGAGCTATGCCAAAACTTGGAGACTCAAGTCTAAAGATAAAGCGTAACTTCCGTGAAAGGCGTCATAATCTGTTGCACTACTAATGCAATCAAGTGTGGCCAATGTGGCAAGAGCATTTCCACTTTTGATTATTTTGGTATTGGGCCAGGAAAGTCCTGTGAACTGTGACATTACTTTGAACCAAAAAGTGAAGTGCAAACAACTGGAGTTTGCGCTTGTGTTGTTGGTTTGTGCACTGATGCCTTTTGTGTGCGTGATGTATGCAGTTCGGTTCTCTGTAGTCGACGACAGTCCCTTGAACTGTTTCCAGCGCGGTCGCTTTGGACAAAGGGAAAGCTGAGGAGAGAATACAGTGAAGTAGCGTTTAGAATTTTAAGTTGGCGGGAAACCCCTCGGAATCAGATTGGAACTCAGAACCCAATCCGCAAACAGACCAATGGGGGAGGTGAACCTGAAAGGTGAGGAAAGAAAATCTGTCAGATGCCATGGGACTATGGGTAAGGGATAGTAGGATCTTCACTCCCCTTTTTCAACCACTGAGGGCGCTGTTGTGCACGGAGCCCTTACCGTAGTACATGTTTTGCAGGGAGGAAAGTGACAAGGCTGGGGACCAAGAGGAGTGGACGGCAGCCCTGGAGGAGGAGGTGGGAGAGATGAGGCTGGAGTACGAGGAGGACCACCGTGGGGAGATGCAACGATACCGGACCCAGCTGGCTGCCTGGAAGGAGCAGAACAAGCTCAAGGTCCAGCAAGCTCATTAAGCCCCCGCCTTCATTATTCTCTGACCAATCACAGCTGTGATTTGTATCCGACATGCATGCATTAAAAAGTCTGACATGCGTGCACGCCAGCATGGTGAAGGCGGATGGAATATGCAGCGTGGCATTAGAGAAGAGCGCATGCGAAATGCCCAAGTGCGCCGTGGGCAGGGCTTACAGGGATTGGTCCATTGATTCACAACTCACAAGTCTTCGCAAGTACATCCATAGCTTTTCCTGTGAACTGTGACAAAGCAAAGCTCACTCTCTGCTTGTAAAATTATTTTTTTAGGCACTTGTGATAACCCGTGAAAAATCCTTTGGAAGTACATGCACTTGATAACAAACACCTGGTGTGACTGTCATTGGCTCTGATCGATTGCTATTGAGAAATTTATTGATTGCCAGAACTTTAGTCTTCGAACTACTGTGAACAGGCATCCCTAAAAGCACCACTTTCACTTTCCCTTGCTCGTGCTTGTTCCATAATAACATGCAGACACACCGAATCTGTGCACATTCTGTTGAAAAATTTGGATCACAATCTCTTGGGTATTCATACATGTAGACCAGTGTAGAATATGTCCTCAAGTTTACTGGCCCTATTTGTTGCCCTGTGCTGTGTGTTTCAGGTGGCGACAATGAACTGTGAGTTCCCACGGCCAACCAGTGGTCAGGAATGCTTATAAGCTCATTGAGCAGGGGTAACAGTTTGAGCACCATTACTGAATATGCATGCTCTACAAAAAAAAATCGTATTGCCTCACAGAAAGGAAAGAAGAAAAAGAGACGTCGGGGATCGCAAGAAAATCTGACCGAGCAGGAGGAGAACCAGGCGGAGGAAGGAAATGTTGACGGCGACGAGATTCCTAAACCAGTCAAACCCGACTACGCGTTCAATGAAGAAGAAGCGAGGGCCAAGGTGATGGAGAAGATGTACAAGTGTAGACGGCGACCAGGTGAGAATTTGCTTCCATGCGATTTATTTTCAAGTCCAGTTGGTCAATCGTAGAGGTAGTTGACAGCATTGCTTATTGAAACAGGACATCCAAATCTTTTAAAGCTTTACTCTAACCCTGCAAAGAACAGGTGTTTTGGACCTTATCTTTATAGCCAGGTGCTTGAGGAATTCCCATTATCTAAGCTGTCCGAATACCTTTTTTTTTTCTTTGAAGCTACCGTGTACCAGTATATATAGATATAAACTTGAAGAAATCTGTTATCTAAGAAGTCTCAACTTAAGCTGACAGCGTTTTTTGTTGTCAAATTTAACATTTTTGCTGTATTATCTTGGAAAGATTTCACGACAGTGGTAACTCGTATTACATCAGCATTGAAATTTCTAAAGGCTTTGCGCAGGTAAAGGAAACATTGTACAGTGATGTCAGGGAAAATGTAGAGCTCTAAATGTTACCCCCTGGATTATTTAGGGTTGATCCATCCCGACTTCACATTAACTCTTACAGTCCCCAAACCTCCAATACTTGAAGCAGCGTTGACTGTTTATCGTGTTAATTTACCCATTATAGATGTCTGTTCACTCGTGCCCATTTTGAAAAGGTCAGTCATGGCAAAGCAAGGGTTGGGGGAGGGGGGGTGGTGTCAACTTGGCTGTTGTTGAAAAGACGTCATTGCTGACTCATCAATTACTTCATATCCATCCATCGAAAAAGATCGTGGCCATAATTTATTTTTTGGTATTTTGCCATTTCTCAAAGGCGAGCCAATCATCACACCGGAGCTGAACAACACCGCTGTCATCACGCCCACCCACGAGTGCCCCAAGGCCGAGCAGTCGCGCCGGTCCGACTTGCAAAAGTGCAAGTGCTTTGTTAAAGTTCTCTTCAACCAGAAGGAGGTTTCCAGAACGTCAACCAAGTAAGGGACCCTTGAAAGAAGGTCTTCTTCCAAGAGATGCACCAACGTCATATAAGACTCAGGCACATTAAAATGAGAAGCAGTTACAGTTTTAGCGGTGGGAGAAAAACCCCAGAAAAAGTTTCCGTGTAAAACTCATGGAATCAAGTTGGAACTGAAAACCCAATCCACGTGTGTGGTCTGAGCTGGGAATCGAACCCCGACCGCAGAGGTGGAAGGAGAGGAAAGAGCCACCACACCAACCCGATTCCCCGGGCCCTGGCCCTGGCATGCACTTTTTTATTTGTAGGGTTACAAATCCACCTTTGTTTTCAGCAAAATGGAAAAGAAAAATAGAATTCAGCATTTTAAATTTTATCCCCCCCCCAAACTTGTGATCATTGCTGTAGTTGTATCCAGTGACATCTGGTTGTCAAGTGCAGTTGGAAAATAATTTCATGAGATGCGATATGGATTGTTCCATTCCATAGGCGAATGGAACATTCCATTTGATGCTGAATAAAAGTATGTTTTCCTTGGCATGAATGTGAAATATTCATTATTGGTTTGTCTACAGTGCCTGATGATAAATTACGACCTGAATAAATGCCAGCTTTACCTGTTTATTCAGAAATTTCCTATGACCATAGAATAGAATGTTAAACCGTTGAATAGAACTTCGCTTTTAGTTTAATACATCAGAACTGCTCAGACAAACAATTCATGTGGCACATGATCAACAGTTCACGAAGTAGACAACAGGAATTTCTCTCCATGTGTGTAGTATTCAGCGTCGTTAGTGTGAATGAATATTTTCTAGTGTCAGTCTCAAGAAGTTTGTTTGCTCCTTCAACACTGTCATCTGCAGATCTCTGACGTCAGAGTTTACAATTCATTTTGGAGAGATTTTCAACATTCAGATCGTTCAGTGGCCCGAAAGCGTGATTCTACAGGTGAGTGGCTAAAGTGGTGTCTCGCCAAAGTAGGAAATTAGAAATGGGAGAGCATGAGAGAAAAAACAAAGGGAAGAAGCTGAGCAGTGTAAAAGTATTACTCATGGGTTTTGTGAGAAAGAAGTGTAATTTCATGGGTTTTGTGAGAAAGAAGTGTAATTTCATGGGTTTTGTGAGAAAGAAGTGTAATTTCATGGGTTTTGTGAGAAAGAAGTGTAATTTCATGGGTTTTGTGAGAAAGAAGTGTCATTTTTTGGGTGAGGTTTGGCACTTTGCCAAGATGTGATGTCTACGGTGATTGAGGAAGCAGACTGCAAACTCGATAGTTTTCACTGTTAAAACTATTGTTTAAATAATTTCATAATATTAAATTCTCAGCTCCAAATATTCCTGTTGATGGTAACTGCTGGTTTTTCCGGATTGAAAAACACCTGCCAAATTCCCATATTTGGGGAAAAAATGAGAAATCCCTATTTGGCTCTGATTCAGCATGGCAGCCAATTTTATCATTCTGTAGATTAGCACATATTGAACTGGTTTATACACGTAGTTACCCCTGACAGATGACCGAAAAAACTCCTGATTTCAACTTGGCTGGAGTTTTTTCTGTTGAATTTTTTTCATGTGCCTATAGGTGTTTGAGACGGGAGCTTTCAGTAGCGCCCTCTTAGCCGAGATCTACTTGGCCGTCCCGGAGACCCAAGTCACCGCAGACAGGGTTCATCTGGAGGAATTTGAGTTCAGCAGCGATCAGCGCGTAGCATTCGATCACAGCGCAGTGGGAAGCGGTGAGAGGACATTGTTGGGAGGGGTATCATTTCCTTTGCAACACCATATTAAGAAATGAAGCCTAAAGAAATACATCTTACTGGCTCCTGTACAGTTTTTGTGGTTTGCATTGGAGGCTTTGCATGGCAGCCATCTTGGAGGTCAGTGCTGTTGCTACCCACATATTTGTGTGAGAAGGCCCTTTGTGCATGTTGTTGCGGAGCAAAGAGCTTACCCGCAAGATGGTTGCCATTCAAAACCTCCACTCAGGAAAGCTGTTGTTGGATGCACCAATATACTTGCAGTGCATCGTGGGAGAAAATTGACATCAATTTCAGATGTTGCAGTACCATAGTTTGGAGTAATCCAAAATGACTCAGTTGTAGATTTTGTTTTGAATATGAGCATTTTATTGCGGTATACTTCTTTTCGCATGAGTGATAAATTGTGACTTTTGGTGTTCTGTAAATACTGTACATGTGTTCTGTAGAACAAGTCAGAAAAAAATAGCAACTTGCTTACTCAGATGGGAATCAAACTGACGACTTCCTGCCTACTAGTTCAAACATCGCAACCGTTTGACTGAGAAGCTTGTTTGGGTTAGCTGAACAGTTCAAGTCTGTTGAAGCAGTAAATACTTCAGTGAAGACTTGTGCAGGACTGTGAACTGACAGTGTTTTCCAAGCTCTTTCAAAAGAATCTACAAGCTTTGTCAAGTGGGAGTTGAACCCATGCTTACTAGAGCTTACGCCTTACCTATTGGCCACCAAGCTTGGCAATCTTCTTGCCGACGTTTAACATCACAGGAGCAAATGACTTTGCTCTGTTCCCTCCCCCAAAGGTGTCTCCTTTCAGCTCGGTGCCGGAGATTCAGCTCAGCAGTTGACACTGCTAACGTCGGGGGTTCTGATGTCCAGTGTGGCGTGGGGGTTGGGGGAGGACGACACACCCCTCGTCCCACCTGCCAATCAGAACACAAACGCATTGAGGTACACATTTCAAGTCACTTCATTCTTGATGATTAGTTCTGTACATGTGTTTGTAAATATGTGACCGGCTCTAGAAAAATGGGTAATAAGTCACCTGATTTAAGTTATGAGTTTTGATATGGCTGGATTCTGTACATCAAAAGCTACAATTTGATATAAGAATGACCCCTGCAGTGCGCTGCGTACTGGAGATATGTAGACATTTGTATATCCACATTTTCGGATTCAATCGAGAAAAAAGCTCATTAAGTGTAGCGCTTGGAAACACGATACTATGTAGGATTTCCTACTTAATGATCAATTTTTCATCTGTATTCATCAGTATCCATGTTTGTAGTCACAAATTCTGAAAATATAAATGTTATCAAAGCTATTAAAGGAAAAAAACACAAAAATTGCCCTCTCCAAATAGAACAGGGCATTACGTGTTGTCGCATTGCGCGACTTAATACCCTGTTTTCTAGAGCGGCTCGCATATTGTATGTTGCTGTAGTGCACTTGCAGGGAGAGGTTTTTGCTCAGCATGACAAACATCCCTGTCTACACAGAAACAAAAAAAAGGGATTTTTTTCGTTTGATCCAGAAGGTAAAATCATCGTTAAAAAATTTGTACTTCTCTGCCTTAAAAGTGAGACGGGCAACATTAGTTCCTTTGGAAGTCAGTATGCTGTGGAAAGTTCGTATATGAGATCTGTGTTAACCCTGAACATCGTGAATTTTCTGATGTCCTTTTATTTCATGTAATGAGTTTTGAAACCAGTATATTGTCCGTTAATTTGTATGTCATGAGGAGCTTGGCCTTCGGCTGATGGCATTTGTTAATAAAGCAGTAATGATAATAATATTACTCAGCTGCAGTTAATAACTTCCATCTTTTGAAGACTGTACCCAGATTTCTCTATGACTACAAGGAATATGTTAACTTGTTCATTGCGCAGGTTTGAACACACTGTGGTCATGTTAATCACTAGTCTTGTCACAAGTCCAGAAGTCCTTTCAGAAGACCGGCCAATAGTAGCAGGGTGAACAGTGGCAGAGGAGTGCTCTTGTCACAGGTCATGCGAATAGTTGCGACTTGGCTTAAGGATAGATGACTTGTGATGGACTTGCAGGACTTGAGATGGACTCAGCTCTGATAACGGTTTGAAATTTCGGCACTTCATGAAGTGCCTTAGCAAAAGCTATTTGAAGCAAAAAAGTGGGAAAATTTCACCGTGTTTTAATTCTGGCAGTGCTGTGAAGCATCTGGATGCTGTGGCAGCCATCGGAGCTACTGGGATGATTGACCCGGAGAGGCTGGCCAAGTGGGTGGCAGAGGCTCGACTGGACCCCAACGATCCCGCCAACGCCAACCTGCTCTACCTCATGAAGGTAACACCACCATCATTTTACCCAAGTAAACCTTCCTAAATCCTTCAAACTCAACCAGAGGGCTTGTAGGATTGATAAGGGTAAAGGAACAGCCATTCTAACTTCCCATGGGACTCCATAATACACTAATATTATGGAGTCCAGCGTAATCTTCCTTGAGCAGAAGCACCCCCTCACCGGTTGAAAAGAGCCAGGTTGGTGGGGAGCATTCATTTTGTTCATAGCGATGTGACCGTAGCACGTGCATTTTCATTTGTGAGCCGACTAAGTGCAGTTCCCACCAAAGGAGCCTCCGCTGCTGTGAAAATTGCGCCCTCTCTTGATCCCGCTCGGGCCTCAATACTTTAATACCTCACTCTAATAAAGGCCTTGTTCAAATTAGTTGGCCACGACTTGAATTAACACACGCATTTATAGAAAATGGATGAAATAGCTAGCTGCCGACCTCAATAGCCATGCATATTATGTCCAGCCGTAGCCTAGTACCTATTGACATGGGCTGACACGGAAGCAGTGAACCGACTATTTTCTCCGTTCACCCAGGATGCCAGAGCAGAGGATGGCCAGGGATACCGGGTGCCAGACTTCTTCCGGCTGGAGCAGCTCCAGGCGGAGTTCAACTTCACGACGGACGAGGAGCTGGCCGCCCTGAAGCGGCTGCAGCTGATTGAGCTGCGGCAGAAGGAAGCGCCGGAATTCCGCAACTACAAGATGATCCCCCTCCTGGAAAAGGAGATACCGGATACGCTGATTGCCGTAAGTGTTAACCAGGGGTCGGTGCTGTCAAGTACTTCACTAGTACTCACTAAGGCTTCACAGGGACCTTACTGGTACATCACACTTATCTCAGATACCTGAAAAAGGAGACACAGGATACACTGATCTAAATGTGAACCAGGATAGGTTTTATAGTCAAGTATCTAATAGTACTCATAAATGTTTCACAAGTACCAAATACAGGTACATCACACTTACCTCAGGAACCTGGAAAAGAGATATAGCATACACTGATGTGAATGTGAATCAGGATAGGTTTTACAGTCGAGTACTTCACAAGTTTTCACAAGCACTTCACAAGTGTCACAGTCTTGGTGCTAGCAGACCATGGAATCAGGTTGCTCATTGGCACATCTGATTTCTAAGTGAAACAATAAAAAATAGTTGACGGATGAGGGGATAAGTTTTATTTATCGTTTCATCGTGTAGGAATATGAGAAACGGAAGAAGAAGGAAGAAGAGGGGATTGTTGAAGAAGACATGGACCCACACAGAGTAGCTGTCGCTAAATTCCTCGGAAAGGTATCTCTGTCCCCTCAGCCTTGACAAACTTGTTGCGCCATGCACAGTGGCTCTCTGTTAAGTTGAACGGTGGGTTTTGCTTAGCTGGTGTGGGCATGAGTTCATCATTTGTCCTTTTGTGGTTTTCTGAATGTAATTTAAACAAACACATTGGGATGATTAGAAATGGTGAGGTTTGGAGTCCGTGTTTCATCTACTGGGTTTAAGTGCTATTTTGTACGCGCAGCTGTTAGATTCCACAAAGTCAGACCTGATCTGGTAACTGCTCTTGTCTAGAAGGTCATATTTACACCAGTATTTAAGCAGATGGTGTATTCTTAAACTTCTCTGGCAGTTGATAATCCAGTGCGCTACTGTGGACTGACACCGCAAAACTAACTCCAAGGAGAAAAAGTATTTGATAACCGATCACTTCATTTTGTCTGATATATCTGATATAATGACCGAATGACTTAGCCGATTTAACGCACAAAATTTTTTGTTCTCGGCGTGCATTGTAGGTACGAGAGCGAGTCATTGCTCGATTCAGGGCAGCCCAGCACCAGTATTCACTGCACGACGTTGTCAATGAAGAACAGGTGCCAGACATCAGGTGAAGCAGGTGTTTATGTTGTTAAAAATGTATTTACATTCCTAAGAACAAAGACAACTTTCCGGTTTAAAGCAAGGCCATTGTGTCTATGAAATCTTTAAGCATTTAATTAATCAACAGGTGTGAAAAGTGCAGGTGTAAAAAACAGAGCTAATCCATTTTCAACCTTGCAATAACACTCAACTTTAAAAACAAATGTTATCATGTACTCTGTATACATACATGTATGGGGACTGTCTGTCCCATCACATTTTTGAGACCTCTTTGAAATCTGACTTATTAAGAGAATTTCTTTGGTTAAGAAGAGAAATGCTGAATTATGTATAAGGGGTTTCCCCTCCTTTCGGTATGTGGCATTTATGAGGTTAAAAAAAAGCTGGCATAAAGTCTTCATAAACTGCAATACTCCAGGGTTTGCGAAAATTTTATCAAACTGAATGGGCCTACGATTTGGGTGGGGGGTTAGAAAATCAAAAATATTGAGATTGTATCTTAGGTTTGGGATTACTGTTGAAATGTCATACTGCGTCTTTGTTCATTGGAAAGGACTTAGCAATGTATGTTGAGTTGATAGAAAATATTTCTGAAATTGGTCCCTGCGTGGATAGTCCAGTATTTGATAATGTTTTCTGCGCAGCATGCTGGGGGGCACGCTGGTCAAACTGTTTGAGCCGCGGCGTCCACTCCGGCCGCAGCGGAAGGAGAGGAAGACGGTGACGGCGCAGAACTTGTCCGGGCTGGACGTCCGGCTCCTGGTCAACATCGAGCGGGCCGTAGACATCCCAGTGAGAGCGGGCACCGGAAGGTACGACCAACGAAACTGGGCTGACTTTTCCCTGCTTTGACCCCACATTTCCCACAATTTTCGCATGGTAAACAAAGGCTCTTCAGCCTATCTCATTACTGTTGAAAATGCTAACTTGAAATTTAAGCTCTTATTCACAACCTTAATTGCCCATTGTTTATTTCCAATTTATCATTTCCAACAGACAAGGAAGGTCGGGTCAAGCATCCTCCGCAGTAAGTGGATTTCTTCATTGATATTTAACAAGGCACCTGTTCTTTTTTATCAGTAAGAAGTGAATGTGGTCATTACTCTTCCTTTTGTAGCTTGAACTCGACATCGTCACAGGTTTTCTATCACTTTTAAATGTTGTCCCGTCCATAAAGCACACTGTAAGGGAACCTCGGACCAAGTCCTCACTGACTGGTTAGCCCTAAATGATCCCAAGCCAGCCAAACTCCAACACCAGGGTTTGTGGGAATCTGTTAGGATGAGTACTGCAGTGGCATAGTGACCGTGTTTCATTTAGGATTAGGCATATCACAAATAAACAGAGTCCATCTGTTAATGTGCACAGTTTACTGTAGGGTTAAGTTTGGATTTTTGTCCAGCCCGACATGTATATGTTAACACTGTATACTCAGTGCAGAAATAGTTGTTCGCGGTGCCCGCTGCTACATCTGATTCAAACCAGCCAGCCGACGCCGGCAAGCTCGGTGGTCGAGTGGTAAAGTCGTCTGCACTCATAAGCAGGAGGTGGTGGGTTCCAGTCCCACCTGAGCACACTTGTGGGTTTTTTCACAAGCCTTCGGGGGCATACACTGAGTATACAGTGTTAAAAGACATGTCAGGCAGGGCAAAAATCCAAAATTAATTCCATCTCCCTGGTGCAAATCCATCTTTGAAATTACTGTATGGTGTCGAGAATTTGCAAGGATGCGGAAGATTGCTGGTAAATCGCCCTTTACTGAACCGGAGTTAGGGTTAATTATACGAGGGATCCATTTTCTTATTCAGCATTCTTCAGTGAATTGATAAGTTTTTTGATCCATTAGAAGAAGCAGTTGTTTCAAAATTGTATTCATTTTGTTCATCTTACAGCCTCAGGTCCGGCCATTTGTGGAAGTGACGTTTCAGCAGACCGTTCAGAGAACCAGCGTGACGGAGGGACCCAACCCCAACTGGAATGAAGAACTCAGACTTCCATTTGTGTAAGTCAGAGAAAGAGCAGATCTTCTACAGATTTCCACTGGCATGGCTTCTTGGTTTCTTCCAAGTCCTTTTTGGCTGGAGCCTGCAGTTTGGAACAAGTGGTTTTTTTTTCATTCAGATTTTTTACTTCCAATTTTTTGTTTTCCCCTCTGAAATTTCTTTTTCCAGAGAGCCATTTTGTTCTTGAACAAGAGACAAAATTTCCTAATCTTTGGTCACCCCCCATAGCTCGTGAATTTAGGAGACTACAGAAAGCCTTATAGCCAGCCAAGCATTGGTGTGTTTGGGGGGGAAGGTCTAAGGTGAAGATTGCACTCTAGTCAGTATCTATTTTATTATTTAAATTGGCTCATCATTGTAATTCTTGCAGGGCGCCTAACGATGACTACTCCTCGGCAAACCTTCAGACCGTCAAAGACACAATTTACGTCCACCTGTTTGACGAGGTGGTGACGGACCTGCTGGAAGACGACCGCGACCGGGGCACCAACATCCACCAGCGGATGGAGAGGAGGTGGCTGGGTAGCATCTCCATGCCTTTCACCACTGTCTACTTCCAGGGCAGGGTAGGGGTCCACCCCATTTCCCCCCCCCCCCAAGAATAGTTCATTGATCTGGAATGAATTATGCATGAGGCTTGGTCAGCATTGGCTCTGGGAACCAGTGAGGGCGCTGTAGCACCTGTTCACAGTTGTCTAAGGGTTCCCAGAATAAATCATGCACGAGTCTTGTCATTGTTGGCTCTGCGCATGAACCCATGAAGGTTTTATAATGCTGCTCGCAGGAGTCAAGCGAGGGCGCTCTGAATGAATTATGCAGCTTGTTTTATAAATTTTGGTGTCTCTGCACAAGTGCTGCTCCAGTTGTCTCCTGTGAGGAATCGGTACCTAATATGATCAGGTTGTTAATTTTGACTGTCACCTCCAGGTTAGCGGGACATTCCGCATGGAAGCACCCATGGTCCTCTTGGGCTACGATCGCAGTGCGGAGAATGTCAACCCCGGGTCGGCCAATGCCACTTACCTCACCCTTTTTATTACCATCGAGCCGCCGTTGACGTCTCCCGAGAAGCTGAAAGAAAAAGTGAGTTAACTCGCTGTGAGTTAAAATGCTTCACAAGTTTGTGTGCGAGGCAAAAGTCAAAGACGAACTTGGGGGCTATTAAAGCCTTTTGAAAGTCGCAAAAGTCGAAAATCAAAAGTGGCAAATACCTGTATAAATTTTCCAGAAACAGAGCAGCAGTCAGAGATTTGGAGTGACTACATGTATTTTGATGTAGTTGGCACCAATGAGACTACACGTAATCCTCTTTCAATCCCCTTCTCTGAACCTTTACAATCACCTTTACTCTGTGGTTTACCCGAAGGGGGAACGATCCCAGGCAAAAACTTAGCTACACCCCAGGGTAATGCCCATTTTATTATTAGAAAAATGTTCACCTTGGCAAAGCCAGTCTTGCCGCTGGCTGTCACCGCCAGCAATCAATCACTACTAATTTGACAGCATCAGAGGATGAAAACATCTGTTCCAGCCAGTCAAAGACCCCCATAAAGTTCCTGGCTGGCAGGCTGGTATATATATAGGTAGTGCGCAGGTGGACTGTTCCCAACAGCTGTGTAGCAGTACCATGCTGACCTTAGGGTGATGAATGATTCAGTAAGGGCAGATTTATAGATTACCATCCATATGGTCTGATCAGCATTTCTAATTTGTGGGTAAGTACTGTCAACTTTTTTTGCCAAGTGAAAAAAATTTGAAGAGTTCCTGGCATGGTGAAAAAGTCACGGCGTGGATTTTTGGAGTATGATCAAAGCAGCCTCGTCGTGACTATAGACTGCTTTCATGGAGCTGATCAGGCACAGGAAATTTGGCTATTAAAGCACACTACAGATATTTGCGAAGTAGTAACAGGTTAACCAACAATTGTATATTGTGTATCTAACCTGTTCCCTGCTGATCGTGCTCAGCACATTTGCTTAGCAAGTATTTTTGCTCAGCAGACATCAGGCATGGTAGCCCGCTGGTATGGCATGCTGGCTGGTAACCAGCTTTTGCTGCACAAAATAATCCCTGTATTTAGCAAATTTGCATGACGGTCATCCTCGATAGATGATGCCTCAAGCACTGATTGCTTTCGACATTTTTGTGAATGTTGTTAGGAGTAATTAAGAATTGTAAGATGTTGTTGAGCATGTCATTAGTGATTGAAATGCAATTGGCATAGAGGTGAAAATAGACAAATAGAATAATGAGGAAATAGCTATTAAATTTAAACCTTGCAATGGTACAGTGATGTAACAAACGGCCGCTCCCTTTAATACGAAGGACACTGGCATTTGTTGAGGCTGAGTTTTAGAACGAGTATGAAATGTATTAAAGAGAGGTTCAAGTCTCCGAAATAAATTTCAGATCTCTTCCTGGGTGTTGAATGAAACCAGCTCAAAAAACATTTATCTACCCATTTCTATGCACAGTTTGATTCCAACGAGGACGAGAAACTTCTTGCCTATGCAGAGAAATACCAGACTGAGTCCCTGGCCAAATTCCCCAAGCGCGAGCTGTTGACTACCGTCATGGACATCAATGGCAAAGCGGTCTTCATTACGCGCTACTTCCGGCCGATTAAACCGCCGGATGACGTGATAGGTGACAACACGGGTGTCAAGGCCGCCGTGAGTTTGTCTTAGTCCCTCCGTCATATTAGCACTTGCTGATGGTATTATTTTTAGCTGAAAAATCATGACTTTGGGAAAAAAGGCACGATATCGGCCAACTTTTGATGTATTACCAAAGGCCCGAACTACTGAATAAAAGAGTCATTCAAACAGATTTTGTACATTATTTCTTCTTGCAACTTCATATTTTTCAACACTCTGTACTGTCGGCACCATTCGATCTTTGTCATGTGTTTCCTGTAGGAGAGAGTTGCCCGCTTCGTGGCCTTGATACCTTTTGTCTCTGACAGCGTTGTCTACCCAGGCCTCTGTGACATCTGGAGCACATGTGATGTGAGTGTGGCATCTCTCCTGCAATATGAGAGGCAGTTGCAGAATTTTTCTATATAACTCCTAATACATAGGACTAACTTTCCAAAAAGATGCCAAGTAGTTCCTACTCATCTGAAAATGTTCAAATAATTGTTTTTGAAATTTGGAAAATCACGAGTTTACCATAAAAAAGTTAATACAGAACACAATAAATGGGTATTTTAAAGGGACGCCTTGAGGCAAATGAAAATGTCTACCATGGACCTATGCTGCAGTGGGCCCCTAAAAACTCTGGTGAATTTTTTTCACAGATATGTCATTTTCTTCCAATCTCACGCCTGAGCTGTTCTAGTCAGCTGTTCACTGTGCGTTCCTCGGTCCACCCACTGGTCATGTATTTGGTTATCTGTATAGCCATCACAGTATTAATACCATCTCAGTGACCTCATTCCAGTTATTCCTTTCGTCTGTTCGTCCCCTTAATGCCTGCAGCAATTCCTCCAGATGCTGCAAGGAGACGAGGAGGAGCACGCCGTCCTCCTCTGCAACTACCTGCTGCACCTGGGCCGCAAGGCGTGGCTGATCAGCGGGTCCGCCATCCCCGAAGGGCCCACCACCTACGTCCTGACCCGGGAGGACGTCGGGGGAGGGGATTACTGGATCTGGAACCCCTCCACAGGGGAGCACTACTCCCAGTTTGACAGCTTCTGTCCCCTGAAGTCAGTCGGGTGCCTGGTGAACCAAGAAAATGTGAGTGGTAGTGTGGCTCATGGTAGTCCTGTTATTATATGAAAAAATCCACTATGATAGTTACTCGTAAGCTATTAGAAATTTGGGCTAAGATTTGTGTCTAAACCTATGTCTTATATGGTAAAGATTACAGTCATAATGCTTCTGTAGTTAGACATTAGACAGATGATTGGAAAATGTTCCCTTTTCGAAGCGTAATTTTCACCTCTGTAATATTGTGATCCTTGTGCTAATTGCGAGCGTGTCTTGTGGCTACAGATTTGGTTCAATACCCAGACACATGTGGAACCCCTCCGTATCGACTTTGACATCAGCAAAGCCAAGCTGTGGAAACCCTTCTTCGGTCGCAGCTACCCCAACCCAGGCCTGTCCAGCGTCCAGGTAGGCCATCATTTATGAAGGAGGCCAATAACAGACGCAAAACCAAGGTTTAGATGTGTCTAAGGTTGGCAGTTAATGGCTTTTCTGTTGTTGCATTCGTGTTGGTTTTGTGAAATATTGTCTAACCGTATCTTTGGATTTTCGTGCTTACAGCCAACGGAACTGAGTTACTACAGAACAGACAGAGATCATGTTGCAGATCTACAGGATAAGTGAGTGTTAAACTGATTTGGTTTTGATTTTGATTTGAGTTTTGATTCCATATTTAATTTTATCATTTGATTTGATAGTGATTTTGATAAGAGTCAAGTTGAAGAAGGGATTGGCAATACCACTATAACTATCTTTGAACTTGGAGTGTTCAAATCCATGGAAAAAAAATACTTTTCATTGTGGGAAAAAGTCCACATCGCATGACTTTACGACATAGGTGTAGGAACCATACCTTCTCTATGCTTTTACAACAAAATCTTGATACTCTCCTTGTCAGGAAGTACAATACCACGATCATTCAAACCCGGCTTCTCTTCATAGACCCACATTGCTGCAGCTTCTAAAAAAACTATACAGTAAATAACTGATGTCAGCTCACGATCTAGGGGCAAAAAACCTTACTTGATAAATCAGGTTACCAGCCAAAATTTCATGTGATGTATACTGTATTGGAATGGTATTTAGCTGTCTTTTGGTTAGCATGACAATCAGATAGAGTGTTAGCTAGTAATCTTTGTTATTTAAGCGAGATTTTTTCATGCTCCAGCAAACTTTGTGCTTAAACAACTCTATGAAATTGGCCCCTGTATGGGCCTTTTTGAGTATGAACTATGGCAATTAGTAAAATACTTCACTTGGTACAAGCCGCAGTTGCTGTTAGTTTTTTCCAGTATTCCCAGAAAGGGCGAGCCTTATCTGTTAAAATTCCCCGACAGGATCGAGAAGAAACTCCGGGATTGCATCATGGCATGGCGGCCACGCCACATCACCCGCTGGAACCGTTACTGCACCACGGTGTTCCGGCAAATCCTGCGTAAGCTGGAGTTCAGTCAAGCTGGCACCAACGAGCACCAGGGGGAACTGCAACAAATCTTGGAATCATACAATGTGAGACTGAGGAAAATATGAGATACCCTCACCGTCTCCTTCCTAGCCCATCCCTGTCATTTTCCCCTCCCCTTCCTCCAACCCTCTTCCCCACCCATGTCCTACCCCTTTCCCCACCCCCACCCTCTTCCCCAACTCTTCCCCACCCCTTCCTCCACCCCTTTTCCCCACCCCTTCCCAACCACATTCCCCGTCCCTTCCCCACCCCTCCCCCACCTCTTCCTACCCCAACCTCTGCCCCAACTCTTCTCCACCCCTTCCCAAACCCCTTCCCCACCCTGTTCCTTCATTGCTCAGGTGCCGTCCCAATTCAGAGTGTTAAGAAATGCAGTGGATTCTGGGAGCAAGATCTTAAATGGTCATCTTGTGAATCAAGTGCTTACCTACATGTAAATGACCATGCATTTGCCAATTGGCCTACCCATTTGATACCGGACGTAACACATTGATTTACTGGTTCCCTGCTTTCAGCTGTGTGGGTTCCCACTGCAGATGTCCTACACCGAGATGCGCACCGTGGTGGAGAAGGTGCGGAGTACCAATGTCCATGCCAACGAGTCGTCTGACGTGGAGTTTGGGCTCGCCGTGCACATACATGCCTATCCAAACAGCGTGCTGTCCGTCTGGGTCTATCTCGCATCTATGACGAGAAAAAGATAACACCGAACCCTTGAGAGACTAGAAATCCACCTGCAAAAGTTTCCAAAGTCAAACCTTTTTTTACAATTGCAAATCCCACCCTTAACCATCAACATGAACAAGGTTTCTTAAACATGCATCACCAGTCAACAGCTTGTTCCTCTGGAGTCTAATCAAATAAATGATTTGATCAGAAAAAGTTGCACCGCTTCAGAAGAAAGTTACACGCTGGACCACTTTCAGAAACAAGAAGATGACTTACGAATCGGCCAAAGGAAAATTGATCTTCGGACCATCTTAATCTCTCTAATTTCTTCTGAAGCCACCCGATATCGTTGGAGTTTATCCCATCTTTTCAGGCACACTTATCTTGGGGGGGGGAAGGTGTGTGATCCAATGCCCCACCCCTGGTCAAAAAAGGGCATGGCATTTCCCCAGCCCAATCTAACCCATGACGACACTCATGCTCTCTGTAGATGTGTGCAAGGTAGATCCATAGCAAATGTTTTTGGGGGGCACAACTTCTTTTCGGGGGGAGGGGGGAACTAGGGGCGCAACTTGAAAACAGGAGTTTCTCATGTGCATCTAATATTTTGGCCATTCTGGCGCTGAAGCTGCATTTTGGGGCTCTTTACACGCTTTTGGAAGGACGGGAAATAAAATAGACTCCAAATTGCCTTCTGTTCTCTCATCTACCAAACGTTTGGTCCCCCTAGGCCATCCCCCCCATCTGGCCTTGGATGCGCATCAGTGACAAATTAAAGGGCAATTTTTTTATATTTCTTTCGTACGTTTTAGCTGTCCGACGGGTTAGGTAAAGCAGCATGGTCCTACTCACAGTTTATACCACAAGCTTTGTTTTATGTAATTGTGAACTGCACCCTCGGGGATAAGGACAAATAGGTATGGAGCAAGCCGTGGGATCATTTCTGAAGTGCAGAGGATGTGGTTCGTTAGGCCTAGTGCCTACGGAAGGGGGAAATCAGTTTTGTCACCAGCTGCCCAGGCACCATTAGTGTCCATCAAAAACGCCACACAGGGAAACCTGGAGGGGGGGGGGGAAGTCCCACCCCTCTCTCCTCTCATGGAAGCATGAAACTGAAAGCGCCAACATTCTATAATTATGCATATCACAGGGGATATTGAGGAGTACTTAACGAGTGAAAAAAAATGGATGGTCATTTTTTAGAAAAAAAAATTGTTTTGTTCCTGAAGCCGAGACACTTCGCTGGGCCACCCGAGAACATGGGGGGGGGGTGTTAGGATTATGCCCACCGTCACAGCTGTAAGAGTAAAAGTTGGGAAAAGCCCAACTCTTGGGGGGTTAAAAGGTGACGAATGTGTCACTTGTTTCCTGCACGGTAGACCTTTTGGGGGGAAAGTTCGTTGCACGAATAGGTGAAGAGTTTGGGTTATGAAACCCAGCGGAAATCCATTAATGTTAGGGTGAAATTAATAAACAGCTTTCATATGAGTCAGCCATACCTTACAAAACTTCCGAATCAGTGACTAGTATATAGTGTGTATATATATATATATATAGATAGGCCTACGTTGGGTAAGGCCAAAGCCCGCAATATGAAAATTAACATCTCCGCAACTCAAAGTACACCTTGAAAAAGTCTTACTCGTTAAAACTTGTTCCTGTGGTCATATACCAACCACCTTCAGTACAGTTCAGTCTCACGCCAACCTAAATTATTCATTTGCGGATAATTTACGCAACGAAACCGTGAGTATAGTTGTTTTCATTTCCTAATTTGAATTCTCATTCATGAAGTGTCGTCCCCACACCCTGTTGTCATGATTTGGAGTTGAATTGCTGTCTTTTTAAGGGGTGATTGTACACGCTGAAGTGCAAGAAAAGTTCGAAATTTTGATAAGCCTTGAAAGCCCTGTAATAGTCGATTGTACCAGTTTGAACTTTATTTGTTCATTTCATGTGTGGTTCATTTTAAAACTGTTGCTGTGCCTAAATTTTCTGTCATTCGATATTCGCATGAATATCCCAGCCGTCAAGCCTTTTTAGTCAGTGTAGGCCAGGTTCCGACACACCTGTTTCATCATTGGATTGATTGCTGTCACCTATTACACCCGACCTTTTCTCCCAAATATTGATTGGGAATCGACTTGATCCAAAAATATACTTGTTTCTGTAGCGACATTTTATTCCGTCCAAAAGGATCTTATCAGATGTAAATAACATTTGTGAATAGTTGAAATATTTGACTGAAATAAAAGATGCTGTGGTGGATTGGATGTAAAATTTTGTAGCTGTCATGCAGCATTTTTTAATAGTTTGGGAGTATTTCTATAAAGTTATTGTCGACCCATTTACGCATGCGCGCGGTAACGGAGAGTGGTTGAATAAAGCGGTTATACCGCGCGATATTTTGCATTTGGACAGGAGCGGAGACTCATTCGATACTTATGATGTTGCATTTTGTTAATGGCCTATTCCACAACAATGACGTAGCAGCTTGACCGTCACTTCATACTCAATAACATCGGTGATTGGTCGAGACAAGCAGTCTCAGCTCAGTTCATTCGGAAAATGGCTGTGGTTTTTCAAGCACCTGCGCAGTTGGATCTGCTCTGAATGTAAATAATCTGATACCAAAACCAGGTGTTCTATCCTGTCCATATTTTGACCACGCAGAATGCCGTTACCACACGCGTTAATGGGCACTATTGCGTTGTACAGCTGAATATGTGCCCCGAGTTCCGATCGATGATTCAAAACATCTAGAATGTTCAAGAAATCCTCGAGTTTGCATGGGAAACTGGCCTATGTAGGGCCTACCAATGACGTCGCACATAATTTATCTGTACTTTTCTTTGGAGCCATTGGGGGCCCAGTGCCAGTTGCACCATACGCACGTAAAGAAAGTGTGGCGTCATCAGTGCATCAAATGTCAAACCGGAAAAACTGAACGATGTTCTTTCAGGGCCATCGTAATAATGATTTTTGTCTCGTTGCTTTACCGATTGCCTTCCCATGGACCCTTTTACTAATGATTTTATCAATTATGCAAGCATGCGCATAAATGGCCATGACAAGGCCAGAAGCGTGAACGGCCTATTGTAAATGCACCGAGGAACAAATTTCGAAGTCACTGTTTCTTCAATTCTTAGAGGTTACCTTTCTCATTTCTGTCCTTTCAGGAAACCTTGTAAACACAACTTTTTGATTCAGGAAGGTATAATGATGCATTGAATATAAGGAATCGAGAATTTGTATGCTTGGTACGAAACAGATAATTGAAGTCTTCATAGTGCTTTTCACTATACTGGTCGAAGGAGCGGAAAGCGGCCACCGCTTTTAACAGGCAATACATTGTGGGTTACTTGCTGTCCAAGTCAACGCATTTACTCTCAGTACACGTTTGTCATGCGTACACGACGTCAACAGTCTTGAGCCGTGTTCACTTTCTGTTTTCCTTCCTCCACTAATTAATTGCCCCTCTGCAGCACACTAATGTCGGTGTTGGAGACATTTGAGTAATTTTTCCCCCGACCACTTGGTCAGCAGGTGGACCATTGTCAGTTTTGCTATCGACTTGTTCACAGTTCCATCAATCACTTGAATTTGCTTTTGGTTCCTCATCAAGTAAAACGACCGGAAAAGCAGTCCGCTACCTTTGCAATAGTGCTGAAAGCTACACTTTGACATTTGCGGTTGATTAAAGTTTTCCATGGACCGAGGTCGGAAGCTGGACTATAAATACATGTTTTTTATTATCATAACATGCAGGAATTGCTCTATGCTCATAGCGTTGCGATGGCGACTTTACGTGTAAATAATTATAATCCTCACTCTGTTTTTAGCGAATCAAAGCATCTGCTTCGGGGAATGAATCTTAACGGTCTGCTGCGGCATCATTACTGATCAGCCGGAGAAAACTTGGAGACTTTGGAACGTCCTTGCAGGATCTGGGGGTACGGTTATCGGATCTTGTTCCAGTGGGCAACGTTCGGGAATAGATAGAATGGGCCGGTGCGGATCTTTCCTAGCTAGGCACAAGGGTTGGGTCGTGACGGCCGCTGCATTCGTGATGTACGTGGTGGCTACCGGCACCCTGGGCGTCTTTGTGCTGCTCTACGTGCATTTCGAGCGGGAGTACCGGGATTCTGCTACTGCCATAGGTGAAGATTAAACCATATCTCCATCTAACATTTTATCTGGCCACCAAATTGTGATTCAAACTACAGAGTGCCCGTAATTTACATTAGGCCATCAGCGTACAGAGTGGCGTAGCGGAGGGGGGGGGAGAGAGACGGGGGGGGGGTGTGTGCTCCTGTTGGAGCTATCCTCTTGCACCCCCCACCCTCGAGAATAGCCCGAGTACGCCTACTGGGGAGAGATAAGACTTTTCAAGTGTACGTTGCACAGATGAATGCACCGTCATCTTCGCAATACACCGCCCTTTAGGCTTAATAGGTCACAGTTAACATCAAGTGTGAAGGGACCGGGACGACCCTTAATACATGTAACCAGCTTAAATCATTCTATGATTGGCGCATACACCTTGCAGATGGACATGGCTGTGCGTACAGCATCCCTTATTTTTACCTTTTTCAAGTTTCAAAGAGTAAATTGCAATATGCCGCGACAATTTTTTTTTTTTTCAACAGGATGGATCGGTTCCCTAAGCAACGGTCTTCTCAACCTCGCATCCTTCGTGTCTAGTCCTCTCTACGAGAGGTTCACGCGTCGGAACATCATCGTTCTCGGAGTGTTCCTTTGCAGCGCCGGGATCCTAGCAACCAGCTTTACCCGGGCGCTTTGGCAGGTGATCGAAAATCACTGTCATGGTCTATTGTTTTTAAAGGAATGCTTTCAAAGTTGAAGCGTGAAACTCGGGACATTCTCAAAGAGCTAGAGCTGTTTAGCGCAGGGATTAAGTGCAGCAAGCAAAAACTCAGCAAAGCCTAGCAGGTTACCAGTCAAAAACTATGGGGATGTCATACAAGACTGGTGCTCTGCAGGTGTTTCCTGAGCAGGCAAACTCCAGGTTTTACATTTGGCGGCTCTCGAAAAGGGAGAACAATGATTTTAAAAAGTAATGAATGAGCCACTTTGATATAAGGCTCTGGACAAGCACATCTTTAAATACAGATGACCATCTCCTTCACGAACATCCTCCCCTAGTGTCAGATTGTGTCAACAGCCCCCTTCATGCGTTTCAAACTGTCCATGACCGGGCAATAAAAAATCCACCACAATCTCCAACCTCCATAATCTTGTGTGAGTTCATTCCCTAACATTCGTATAATTAAAAGTGCGACCGTTTTGCCTCATTCAGATTGTGATCCATTTTTTTTTGCTACCCATGACCAGGTTTATCTGACCTTCGGTGTGGTCTTTGCTGTCGGTCTCAACTTCCTTTGCAATCCCTCGCTCAACATGCTCATGATCTACTTTCCTGGCAAGAACTGCGTGCGAGCCACGGCTCTAGCCAGCGGCGGTCAAACAGTGGGTGAGCTTGTCTGTAATGTGTCAGAAATTGGACTAGATCAAAACCGTAAACTTAATATTAATTCTCTTAGTGCTTTGATTGATTTTGCAGGTTGAATTTGAAGTTCCTGTTTTAGTGAATCAAGCCAAAATGTTTTTTTTTTCAAGCGAGATTGTTCGTTCACAATAGCGAGATGTATGAATTTTAAATACGACTAATTTAGGCTTTAAAAAGGCTCTGATCAAGGAGCAATTATTCCAATGTCATTTACATTGGTCATTTGTATCCGTTTAAAAAGCTATCATACACCGGAAAAAAAAACTCATTTCTGATTTAAGTTGAAGATCATTTTTAGTCGAATTCTTTAAAAATTGCTTAATTCTTGTTTTTTTACGCGCATTTAACACGGTCTTTCGTGTACTTGAAGAACGAAATCCTAGGGTTAAAATTATGGTTTATATACTTGTGCTTTTAGACAAAAATGTGCAAAGTCTGCTTGCGTTTGTAAATTTCATTCAGGTACCCTTCTGCTTACACCGATTTTCGAGGCCTTGTTGTCTGTCATCGGATGGCGTCAATACCTTCAAGTTCAGGCAATCGTGATCTTCGTGATCTGTCTGCCGCTCGCCGTCGTCTTCAGGACTCCATCGCCGCGTACCACTCATCAGGTGGACAATGCAGCCGAAGACGCGGGCACCCCAGCCGAGCAGGAGAAGCTGAACATGATGAAGGTGGGCGGGGCTCCGTCGGCCAAGGGTGACGAAAATAGCTACCAGAAGACAGAGGACGACAGTGAAGAGAGCGCGTGCGTAGAACCGGACTCGGATCCTCAGGGAAAGGGATCCGGGGACTCTACCCCGCCGAACAAAACTGAGGAACACGTGGTGAGCTCTCTCACTGAACCCGTAAACTCGCCCGAGAAGACCCTTGATAAGGACATTGACGGAGGAGGAAGGCAGAGGTACCCAAACACGTGGCAGAAGTACGTGAGGTTGATGAAGGACCCAAGGCATGCGTTCTTCTTCGTGGCAAGTCTCACAACAGCCGTCTCAGCCTCGTTTAACGGAATAAACCTGGTAAGAAACACTGGACGCGTCGACCCATGAAACGAAACAAAACGTAGACTACAGTATGTTGCTCGTTCAGGGATGAAGCCATTTCTCTTCGACAGGAAGATAATCAGGGGTGATTATTCGGATGCGTTTGGATGTTTAACTTCAAAGAAGATTTTTGCCGTTGCAAGGCTGTAGTGTGTCATTCATGAACATCACATGACCAGACGAAGACCCAGTCACAAGACAAGTTGAAAGTAACGAGATGAAAAGTGACACGGAATATTTGGTTACAGTTAGTTGAGAATATTTGGTTACAGTTAGTTGAATGACTAAATACCCTGTTCATTGTCAACTGACGGGGTTAACCTCTATTATAGTAACACGGAAATATAATGAGTTGTGACTTGGATAAGACTTGAGATCTTTATGGGTTAGTTTTCTGATGGTCTTTTGATAGTCGGTGCAATAGCACCATATGATTGGTGAGAGTAAAGTTTTCCCGATGGCAGACAATGAGGATGGTGACTACAAGAAGATGATAGGTGGCGACAACGAAAGTGCCATTCGCGCTGATAACAGTCTTAATTTCAAACACTTTCGCTTTCAAATCTGTCACGATCTAAAACAGGTCAACTGTATGACAGTAGGTGGCATCCCAGAATCTACTGCGGCCCAGCTGATCACATTGATGTGCATCGTCGATTTGGTCTCCCGTTTCATCTTTGCATTTACCGGGGACGTTCTCCCGTTCCAGCGGATCTTTCTCCTTGCCGCAGGATCCGCCCTCGGGGCCGCGGGATCATTCCTGCTGACGAGGGGAACGTCGTTGTGGATCTTCGTCCTCTACGTTGTCGGTAAGTGCCACAGATCAGGAATTCGTGACTGCTTCCGGAAGTGTCTTTTTCAGCTAAAGTGACTTTCTGTCGCTTGAGTTTTCACGGTTTCAGCTATTACGGATACTTACGTACGTACGCTCACGCTTTTGAAGTGTGAACAGTCGATCTCGGTACAAATTGAGTTCTCAGTTTCCCTTTTTAAATACTGTGGCGCAGCCATCTTTCCGGTTACTCCTTTTGTTACGAAGGGATCTCACAGGTCTACTCATGCGTATCCCTGTGGAACAAAAACTCTTATTACCGGAAAAATGGTTGCAGTGCACAGCTTCTATTCGATGTCAGTGATGGCGTAAATTGCCTACATCTGAAACAATACTTCCCCTCTTCCTTACAGTTGCAGGTGTTGTGCGTTCCATAGCCTACGGCCTTGTTTGGGCTTGCGTTGTCGACCTGTTCGGCGCTGATAGGACTGTGGAGGCGCTGACGTCAATTCAAATCTCGTGCGGGATTGGTTGCTTGTTTGCCTCCTCCGTGGCAGGTAATTATTGCACCGTTTTTAACCCGCAAATCTGATAAACGTCTGTATTATGTTGCATGCCTCTCGCATACCAAAGTGCCGATATGTGTATGCCTGCCGATTTCTTCACGTAGGCGTTGTCTCAAGGCCGAGCAATAGGGCCTATATAAACTTATTCGATTAGACACCATAAACTGCGATGGCACTGCATTTCCGCCATTTATATCCATTGTTGATCAATGATTCACACGCACATTCTTTAGCCTAACGTGCACACACGGCCGAGGGCACAAGTGTGCAGGCGTGGCATACACGGTGGGGACCTCTGTACAAAAGAAGTCCGCGTGATGTAGGGTGCGATCGATGGCGTTGTGTGTTCACGCACACGCCACTGTGAGTGTAACAAAGATATGTGGCTCTTTGTGAAACGAAAATTTTAGTTTTCCTGTACTTGCCAGCCGTTCCAATCAATACTTTTTGTGCGCCTACGTGGGGCAGTCAGACTTGTGTCTCTTCGTGAAAACGCAAAATGCAGTCATCGAGATTTTTGTCCTTTTACAATATTGATTGATGTTATCTAAATTGAAAAAAAATGCGATTTTCGACACGTGAGGCTCTTCGTTGTGAAAACAGTGATTTTATTCGATCTACCTTTGTCAATCAAAAGGGTCATTCTTCATTTGCTCACGCAGGTCTTAGCTACGACCTTACGGGTACCTACCAGACCACGCACTTCATATGCATTGGACTGTGGGCATTGTCGAGCCTATGCTACGCCGTCGTGCACCAGTGGAGTCGAATCACCTCCTGCAAGATCAACCGATCGTCACATCCTGCCGCCTTGAATTAAAACCTTCCATTTGGATTTGTTTGCATATTTGATGAAAATGATGGAAACATTTTGGAGCCGTGTTAATGACAGCCACGGGATTTCAATCGGTATTGTTTTCAATAATACCAAATTTTTAAAACTGAATTCGTTTAAATTCTTAAAACGATGAACTTCAATTCAGTCTCAAATATTCACGACCTTACATACCCGACGTTCTGCTTCGTTTGGTCCTCTCTCTTATTTTCATTAGTTTACATGTTCTTTCGTGAAAGGTTCTACTTAGTCCTCCTCAGTTACATCACATACGCCTGATGAACAAAATCCTCATTTTTAGCTGATATTTTTTTCCCTTTTTTTGTCTGCCACGTGATCATGTTGACTCCGATAATTCTACACTTTCACCTGTTCACTTCTGCTTGAAACATATTTATTTAAGTGTGTTCTTTTCCTTGTCCAATGACGTTCGTCAGCCTTTTCCATTTTCCATAATTTAATGTGTCCGCAGTGGAAAGGAAATAAGGTTTATAAAGATGCACATGAAACTGTATCTATCTCTTACAAGTAGGCCTAAAAGAAAAATTTTTGTCACATTTTCACAGCATCCAAAAACATTACATTTTATACAATACCCGCTTTTCTGCACGTCACCTGGCTAATGGATCGTTGATCCCGTCACCTGGCTAATGGATCGTTGATCCCGTCACCTGACTAATGGATCGTTGATCCCGTCACTGGAATATTCGTTCTATTGTTCTTTTCAAAGGCGTTGGACTGGTTCCCGCCTCCATTTCATGTACATGGTATAGCTCATTTCCAGTAAAAGAATATAAAAAAAAATGTAGAGACGGGAACTAGTCTAATACTGCACGGCACACCAAAGGGTGGCGCCTTGGACACGAAACTGTCGGCAAAAGAAAAGACGCCATGTGTGAGGACCTTAAGTTCTCACAACCTTGCAGATATTATATAAAACGAATAATGATTGTTTCATTTTCTTGCCAAACTAAGAATAATTTCATGCTGTGTTCCGTGATATGTTAATCAAATCACCGGCCACCGCTCGAACTTCTTCTACCGTCGCACCCATAAACATTCAGTAGGCCTATTTGTATAAAGTAGTCTTCATGTCAATTCGATGGATTTTCAACCGCCATCTTTGTCAAATACATCCGTGTATAGTTGTACAATTTAATGAAATTTAATGCAATTCACGGAATCAACTGAGCAAAGACAATTCAATCCTTACATTATTTAGAGGTTCATCGGGTGAGAAATTCCATAAAATCTGACCTCATTGAAACGGTGTTGAAAAGTTCGACAAAGGGTCACTTGGTCTGATCAATGAATGAATTCAATGCAGTATTTGTGTGTTTTAGTCTAGAGACTTAATTGCAGTTAATCGTTTATGAATGCCAATGGATAAAAATTGTCGAAAGGTGCAGGAAAGCTATGAATATAGATAAGCAATAAGAAAATATTGAATAAATGCAACATTGGCGAAATTCTACGTTTTGGTTCCGAAATCTTGTCTTTAAGGAGAAGTGAGCTTCAGCTCAACATGTTTTCAGGAAAAACCCATAGATCATGCTGCGAGAGGGCTTCTCAAATATCTCATACAACTCTGGCAAAAGTATGTCAAGATAAAAAAACGACTGAATAATTTTATGTTTAGGGACTAGTTCCCGGAGTTTCATATTATGTATGTCGCTGATCTGCAACTTCTAAAAAGGGACAGTATCGTCAGAAATGAAAATATTTCATTACCCTCGTAATCGCTTTGTCACCAATTGAAATTTGGCACATTGAAAAAAATGTACTCTGTTCTGAATTTCATGCCTGCGAAATTGTCAAAGTTTCTTATGGCTGCTCAACAGAGGACAGGCATGCTGAGGATTTTCCCGTATGGTTTACAAGGATATGGTCAAGCAACCGCCGCAGCCGTTTCAAATCTAACGTTTCTGCACATCTAGGGGGGTTCAAACGTAAGTGAACGCCCGGCGTCTCTCAGATACCGGGTCAACTTGAACGTGCAAAGTCAGGTCACCAGTATAAGTTTTCGTGTCGCAACAATAAATGATTGTGTTGGCAGTGCAACCTTCCAGCTGCTTCATGCATAACAAATATAAAACCGCTTTGTGCGTCGTGTGCACCACATGCCTGTCAGTAGAATTGAGGTCGAGGCCTCGTGAATGTCGGCTGCGGTCTAGGCGTCGCGATTGAAAGTGCCATCCGTGCAGATTTGCAGTGAGTTGTCAAGTGTTAATCATTTCGAACCTACACTGCCTGTAATGTTCATGTCATTGATGTGAACGACCTGAGACAGAATAGAAAATCCCTCTTGATTCGAGCGATTGTGATAATGCCAAGGTTAAACGTCGGCATAGCATACACAATAAGGCACATGTATTACTATAATCCTGGGTTCAATATTGGAGTTGTAGGTGTAGTTTATCGGACAGTTTTAGTTAGGTGTAGTGTTAATCATTTCATTCAATGACATGAATAAAACTGACAGTGTAGGCTTGTTTATCTCTCGTAGCTTTTTGCCAGTTGTCTTATTTATGATGTCGGCTATCATTGCCCTGATTTTGATATTGTAAAAAATCAAACTACACATATTTGTATTGGTTAAAGTCAGTGTTGTGGTACTCGTAATCGAGTACTTCTCGAGTACCGTTTTTAGTTCTCACGTCTTACTTTTACTCGAATTTCCAAGTACTCTTACTCGAACAGTTCTTGTACTCGGGCTGCAAAATACTAGGAATAAAATCTTACTCGAGCATCGAGGTACTCCCACTCGATTAACAATACTCGATAAAAAAACCCTTTAAATCCCGCTACGGTCATTGAAACTTGAATACAACGGTACATGAAAATCGATCCTCGCAGACCGATAGTCGGTTCAGTCCGACCAACACAAAGCCCACACATTGGCCGTTTTAGCCAATTGCGACTGCAAACGTCCTTGCTTTGTTTAGAAGTGAAGGGTGACTTTAAAGGTCCGGATCCGACACACGGATGAGTTTAATTAAGGCAGTTTATATATTTACTGCAGCAACATTAACGTATAAAGTGTAGCTACAATAAATTTTTCCTGGGGACATTTTTTCTTCAATTTTGAACTCTTTTCAGTGTTTGAAAACTATTTTATATTCTTACCTGTTTAAATGCATCGAAAAACGCCATTTTAAAACAATTAAAACTATCCATGCTTGTTGCTGTGAAGTCATCCAGGGAAGACGAAGCTCTTTGCGCAGGCTTTTTTGTTCAAATTGTGAACCTGGAATTTACTTTACTTTGTTTAGAAGTGAAGGGTGACTTTCATGTTAGTTTAACCACGGAGGAAGGAAACGGTAAGCATGTGGTGCATTTGGGCTAGGGATAGGGAGGGGCCTCCCTGTGCGCGTGAAGGAGTGTTGCTCTATAAATTATGCGGGATGGCCTTGACCATACCCCATCTGGGATTCAGTACTGTTGATGGGGTCAGGCACCTAATGTTTCGCAGCAAAAATGGCTCTCGCACATTTCAATTAAGGAGGAGATATCGCAGTGGATAAGTGACGGTAAGACCTATAGAGTACCGAAGTGAATACGTCACGCTCACAGTTAGTGTGTAAAGGCATTAGCGCGTGAACCAGCGCGTGAACCTACACGCGCGCGTACTCCACTCGTGTGCACTGTACTTTCTGGTTCACAGTAACGTCACACTTCGGTACTCTATATGCGCAAGCTGGCGATAATAATGAAAGAATTAGGCATTCGGTGCAGCTCTTTTGCAGCCAATATTTGGCACTTTTGCCGCGAGAATCACATTAATACCGGTATTATTCAGACTTAATACGCCGTTAGCTTCCCCTGCAACTGTTTTCCCGCAAAATAAAGGAACAAGAGGTTTCGATTCAAAGTGCTTCGAGCCAGGAGACGAAATCGATCGGTTGTCCAGTTTAGACAAAAAGGCCTATAGCCTTTATTATCCGCTTAGCCTTACGGTTTTTTCGGAGTCTTGTTACCCTTCGCCTGGGTGCACCCACACCACAGTTAGTGTCCTTGTGGAGACAATGCAGTTTTCTCGTGTAATAAACCATTCGAGTGTGAAACGCTGTTTTCAAAATACTCCCGCCTAAACCAGAGCTACTCTCCTGGGATGAAGTTTTAAATCAATATCCCGTAATTCGGGATAGTTCAATTTGCTGGGCTATCTACACATTAAAAATACGTCTATTTCGAATGATTTCCAATAATCTATTTTGAGAAATCTTTGTGGAGACCTATACATCCTTGGAATCAGCCTTGAGCAGGAGCATCCCTTCATCGGTTGAAAAGAGCCATGTTGGTCGGAAAAGTCATTTTGCTGGTAGCTTGTGCATATCAAACAGCACATGTCACCATTGTGTGTAGCCATTGTTTGGCATGCACAAGGGTTTATCCACTACGAACACAGGGCGAGAGCTCCCTTCGTTTTCTCTGTTTTCTCAGAATGACGCAATCATCAGAATTTGCATCTTGGCATAAACAGAAAAAAAGCCCTTTTTAGCTTGTCATAGTTGAGCTCCGAAGACAAATGACACTGCATTCGATGTGGATGCTTCCATATAATTTATTTGGACAGATAGAACAAGAGAAAACGTGTTTTCCTTTGAGTTGCTCTTTAAGTGTGGCCAGCCGTTTCTGTTTGTCAATCTATGCGTCTGGCACTGGAGGCGCCTCCACGAAATCTGGTTTCCTGCGGCCTCAAGCAATATCTACATTACGTAAGACCTGATTGACACGGGAAATGTTCTTGCAACACATGGTAAAAAGGGGGACGGTTTCTGCATGCATGAACATTGGCAACAGGGCGGCGTGAATAAGGAGATACGGTGCCTGACCAGTCAATTGAGGGGTTTTTTTGTTTTGTTTTTTCTACCTCCGGACCAATGCAACCTATGTCGGTAAGTACTCACCGATTCCCCTCCCACCCAGAAAACCTTCTGTAACAGCCATCCTGTAGACTTGAATGGCTGTCTACTGCGGCAGCGTTCCGCCACAGGTTAGAGTGGCATTTTTTGTCCTTTGTTGACCTGCAACTGTGAACGAATTCGTTTTTCTCAGCCGCAGTGCTCCATTTGGATCATTGCTTCGTACAGCTTATGAGTCTGCTTGAGCGGATGCGATGATGTGAGCATCGAGCAAGGACACGTGCTCTGCGGTCTAACACGTGGGTCAACCCGTTGGGTTGTGAGACCTTTTTCCTCAAGGTCACGATCGATGGCTGCGGTGCGATATGCCGTTAGTGTCCACCTCCGCATTGTTTCTGGAGACTGGTTTTTAAAATCAGCTGGTTTCAGCATGGAGATGGTTTCAGCATTGAGGAAGGAGGCAGGCGGTTTCAGGAATGTAAATGCCTGCATGGGTTTTCCAACTACAATGTAGTTGAAAACGTACTTCGCAGTGCTCGTCGGCAAGGGTAGGCCTATCCGATTTCTCAGACTTGAGATCACATTCTCGCGGGAAAATCGTCGAGCTAATTCGAATGAACACTGCGCAGGACATATCGCGGAGCAGATCTTTTGTTCCCCCGTAAGTCTTTACATCTAGACATTTTGAACAGTTAACATGATTTCTTTTCAGCCATAATCAAACACTTCTTCTCGTGCCCAAACAGTTCCAAACTTTTTAGTGAGAGTTCTGTCGGGGAAGAGGGCAGTTTACCCCCCCCCTCCCCGCTGTGGCTCCTATTTTGTGAGGCGGAATTAAGGTGTAAGGAATGTGTCATTGGTTTCCTGCACAGTTGACAGTTTTTATTAGGGGATTTTGGAAAGTTTGAAGCACGAATTAGTGAGTAATTAAGATTACGAAACCAGGCGGAAATCCATTAATTTGGGGGTGAATACCCAGCTTTCTTGTGAGACAGCTACACGTAGCTGGCGTACAGCATCAATATGTAATATTAAACAAGGCCCCTTTCACACTGCAGAGCCATTCCCCTGCCGGGACATAAATCCCCGGGATAATCCTGGGGATATTTTACCTCACCCAAACCCCAGCAAACGTTCACACTAGACCCATTTAGTTGTTTTCAAACGATGTGATACCACTCGATCGGATGTCCTTATCGTTCTGTCCGACACACCAACTTGAATAGACCATTTTTCTGCGGATATTTACTTGACATGACTGTAAGTATAGCTGTGAATATTATATAAATTATAATTTCTAAGCATAGGGCTTACTAGTATTTTCACCAGTCGATTTGGTGGAAATATTCACATTTTCGCTCCAGTCTAGTAGAGACTCGCCAAAGTGCGCTTCCAGTCCTTGAGGGGTGGAATCCACGCACTAAAGTTTAAAAGTAGATTGCGTCATTCTGAGAAAACGGAAGAAAACGAGGGAACCCTCGCCCTGCGTTCGTTGTCGACAAATCCTTGTACATGCTCAACAATGCATGTAGCCATTGTTTGTAGCCATTTGAGTTGGATGCTTCCATGTTTATTTGAACAGATAAAATCGCAGAGAAACGTGTTTTCTTTAGAGGTGCTCTTTAACATGGAAGTCCAAACAGGTACCGCTCTACAAAGCCATTCTCTCAGAGCCATTACAAGACAGTGATAAATTGCCGTCCTTGTCAAGTATCCTTTGTTATTTCGTGTCTGTTGGCCAGTTAATCTCTTTTTCACCTGTGCAGTTCACTGCCTTTCACCAACCTTTCTCAAGGAATTACGCCACAGTTCCCGCCACATATGCCCGCCACGCTACAGCACTTGGGTTTGCTGACTGTTGGGATCAACGCTTGTATGTAATGTCATGTATTGTATGCTTGGCAGTAATTGTGGAACTTTGAGTGCTTGACAAGCATATTACGTCACGCATTTGCACTTCCTGTGCACCCAGCAATTAACGGCAAGGAGAAGAGCGAATATCTCACCCATGTCCCCCAAGGGTCATGCAATTTAGCGTCAAAAACGTCGAGCGTCAACAACGTATCAGTGAGTTTATCAGAGCACATTTATGCCCAAAATTAAATTTACAATATTGATTAGGATCCTACTTTTACAAACCATATCAATGTATCACATTTATCTGGAAGCAATTCCCCTTTTTTTCTTACAGAGTGACAAGTGTTACAGTCTCTGAATAATGATGAAACCATTTTTAAATCTTTAAAGGGTATTTTAAAGTTGTTCGAAACTTTCTTGACGCAACTGGTGGGTGCTGACGCTTGTTGACGCTAAATAAAACGACCGTCCGCCGACTATTCGGCACGCAGGATGTTTGCGGGCATCTGCATACACTACTCAAAAAAAGTGAAGGACCACTTTTTCTCTGAACTGTAATTTTCTAGTTCCTTCATTTGGTTTGTTTGTCTGGATGCTATTCTTATTGAAATATAAAACTTTAAAAATGTTTAATATAAAATAATGTTTAATGTAAAATATCTCACATCGAAAAGTATACACAAAATAAAGAGTGGTCCTGAACTTTTTTTGAGTAGTATATATAGACTAGATCAAAAATCCACTCAAGTACTGCTCGTCTCCCGGCTATAAAAGTCAAAGCCGTGGTTACCGTGTTTACTGGCTGTCAAGTGAAATATCGTTATACCATGTACTTTGACCCTAGCTAATGTTGAATAACATTTCACGGGTCGAGGTTCAGAACCGCTATCATACTTGATGAATTGTTATAAAATGTGCGAGGCAAGTACATGCTTATGACATTATGACGTAACTTCACTTTGTTTTCAGCGGTTTAAGGAGTGTGCTTTGAGGACTGATCCGCAAAGGTCTGTTGCATCGTCACCATTTTGGAGACTTGAACAGTAACGCTATCTGGAAGTGATCGGGAACGTAGGCAGTCGAGTATTGCAGACAGCGTACACCTCGCTGGCAGGCCGTTCCGCGATAGAATGGGCCGGTGCAGATCTCTCCTGGCTCGGCACAGGGGCTGGGTCGTGACGGCCGCTGCGTTCGTGATGTTCGTGGTGGCCACCGGCACCCTGGGCGTGTTTCTACTGCTCTACGTGCATTTCGAGCGGGAATTCCAGGATTCTGCAACTGCCATTGGTGAAGATTAAACCATTTCCCCATACACAATATTATGACGATACTGTCCTACATACAATAGAGACTGCCCGTTTTTTCACAACCTTTGAAATCCGCTCTTTGATACTTGAGAATTCAAAGTGAATAGCAAAGGAAAGCGACAAGCATAAATGTTTATCCTTGTTTACCTTTGACTGACACGTACATTTCATACCTTTATTGATACGACCCCAGCTAGCCCTATATGCACCCCCCTTCCCACTTGCTTCCCATATCTGTTGGTTTTCTTTCTTTTGAGAACAGGATGGATAGGTTCCCTAGCCAACGGTCTTCTCAACCTCACGTCTTTCGTGTCCAGTCCTCTCTACGAGAGGTTCACGCGTCGGAAGATCATCGTTCTCGGAATATTGCTTTGCAGCGCCGGGATCCTAGCAACCAGCTTTACCCGGGCGCTTTGGCAGGTGAACAACTAAATTCTATGGCCTGTTTTTTTCTTTCTCAAAAGAATGCTTTGTTTTCGAAGAAGAAAAGAAGAAGAGAGTTTTTGTAAGAAAAACCCATTTTTGCATAAGGCTGTATGTGACGGTCAATTAAGTAGCCTCTCAGGGCGTTAACGATTATGTGCCGATTCGATTAATCGATCACTGTGCTAATCGATTGTATTTCCCTATTACGTTAAACTCACATACTGAATGAAAACGGAGGCTTTCTTTTAGGAGGAACAATTGAACTCTGCAAAACGTAATGACTCCTTAATACAGGCCGCGCTGTAATTTTTGTAAAATAAGCGTGCAAAAGTCATCGACCTAACGAAATTGAAACCGTAACCGAAGACAATTCGATCGGAAACGAAAGTCAAGAAACAAATCATATATGGAAACTGACTAGGTGCTTATGAATGATTATGAAGATCAACGAAGAAATTGACTGGAGCGAGATTTGAACCTGCGGCCTCTGGAATACCGTACCGGTGCTCAAACGAAAGTTGAAGGCTATACCTTACACCTTGAACTAGTGCTGGAGCACTGGAGTATAATGTTGGCTTTTCCCGTCTATCAGTCAGTTTAATCCCATTTGGCTTAGGCACCGTTTCTGTCCTGTCTTTACCCATGAACAGATTTATCTGACCTTCGGTGTGGTGTTCGCTGTCGGTCTCAACTTCCTTTGCAACCCTGCGTTGAACATGCTGACTATCTACTTTCCTGGCAAGAACTGCGTTCGAGCCACAGCTCTAGCCAGTGGCGGTCAAACAGTGGGTGAGCTTGTTCATCGTGTCAGAAATCAGGCCATATCAAACAATTAATACCAGATCTTTTAACAATTTGATGGGTTTTCCAAAAGAAATCGAAGTTCGCTTTTACCACTGAGTTAGGCCAAAATTTCAATTTCAAAAAGGGAAAGCTCGTTTCCGTTACTACGTTTGCCTAAAAATGATTCTCAGGATTGTCAACACTGCATGATGCAAAACTGTTAAACACACTATTCGGTCACTACAAAACTGTTCGTCCGTGTTAGTACAATTTTTTAAATATATATTATATACTATCTCTCAATTATGGGTGGTTAGGTTTTGAACAAAAGTTTTCCGAAATCAGGTGTTTTTTTTAGTAATCTTGTAGTGTGGCACTGGGCAATAACTTGGGGCTTCGCCCATTACATTGTACATGTATATACCGGTACTTGAGCGCATAGGCCTATGCATCTTTCAAATTTGGGACTTTTACTTTAGTAAAGTGCCAACGAATGTTGTATATCGTTTGTAAACCCTATCTAGGTACCCTTCTGCTAACACCGATTTTAGAAGCCGTTTTGTCTGTCATTGGGTGGCGTCAAACCCTTCAAGTTCAGGCAATCGTGATCTTCGTGATCTGTCTGCCGCTCGCCGTCGTCTTCAAGACTCCATCGCTGCGTCCCACTCGGCTGGACAGTGTAGCCGAAGACGCGGGCACCCCAGCCGAGCAGGAGAAGCTGAACATGATGAAGGTGGGCGGGGCCCCGTCGGCAGAGGGTGACGAGAACAGCTACCGGAAGACGGAGGGTGACGGCGAGGAGGACGCATGCTTGGAACCGGACTTGGCTCAGGATCAGGGATCCGGAGACTGTGCCTCACCGGACGGTAATGAGGAGCACGAGGCGAACTCTCTTACTGAACCCGTTAACTCGTCCGAGAAGACTGTTGAAGACAGTGTGGGAGGGGGAAGGCAGAGGTACCCAAACACGTGGCAGAAGTACGTGAGGTTGATGAAGGACTCAAGGCATGCGTTTTTCTTCCTGGCCACCCTTGCAACAGCCCTCTCGGTCACATTTAATGGAATAAACTTGGTAAGACGTAGATAAATACCGACGAAACAGACACTGGCTGAGAAAAGACAAAGTCATTTGTCCATATCAGATGCACCTGTCGTGTTAGCGGTGAAATGATAGAGAGTGTGATTAGTGGGAAGTTGGTGGTGTAAGATTGAATTGTTGTGGTGGAGACGAAGCTTGACATAAAACTAGTCACAACACTTAATCCAGCAAGAAATGAGACCAAGAGGTCCCCCTCCCCACGTGTCCAATTGTTACCTAAAACATCCCCTCTAGATGTCGGAAAAGAAATCCTCAGATTCCAGTGAGACAATGACCAACACGGCGGGAGGGGGGTTCTCTCCGTCTCATGCCTTGCTTCATATGACAACACCAGTGACAAGTAACGGGATGAACAATGGCCAAGGCATGTTTTGCTAGTTTTGACCTGAATGTTGGTTGGAGGTGTTGTGTTGGTGTCGGTCTTGTGGTGGTCTCAATACCGTAAAATCGGTGCTGGCGACGGAGTTTTTTATGGCAAACGGTTAGACAAACGAGGATGACGATTACGATAAAGATGATATTGTCGTGCTAGCAAAAGTATGCTTTCAAGCGTTCTTGTCTTTACTTAATCCCAAACAGATTAGCTGTATGACAGTAGGTGGCATCCCAGAATCTACTGCGGCCTGGCTGATCACGTTGATGTGCATAGTTGATTTGGTCTCCCGTTTCTTCTTTGCATTTACCGGGGACTCTCTCCCGTTCCAGCGGATCTTTCTCCTCGCCGTGGGATCCGCGTTCGGGGCCGCGGGATCATTCCTGCTGACGAGGGGAACGTCGTTGTGGATCTTCGCCCTCTATGCCGTTGGTAAGTGCCACAGATGTCAAGTTTGTGGATGCCTCAGGAAGTCTTGGCTTCAGTTTTCTGGGGTGCTCTGGTATCCAGACCACCAAATATGGTAATTCATGCAATGGCACGCGCACGGCAAATGTAAGAGGTCCAGTTCACGCCGTGCTGAGTTGGGATGTTGTGGCATTAAATCCTATTGCTGTCATGGCAGCTTCTCAAGTATGTTACGTGAACGAGCGGTCAGTCTTCCCAAATCTTTGGAAGAGTGGTTGCAAAAATATTATTTTAAACAGCAGGTCCTAGCTACGACTTTTATAGGTAGTTAGAAGAGGGTTATACTTTTTGAGACAAGACTTGCACTTTACAATAAAGCGACATGTAATACTAATTTCGTTTACCTGTTTTCTGAGCACACCAGGAGTTGAGATTGTCTGTACCTGAAATATTGGGATATTGACTGTCTACATTTTGTACAAATACATGTGTTTTCATTATAGCGCTAGGCCTACATGCAGAACCTTTCCTTTTTATTCTTAGCTGTGATTGCGCATTGATGTCACACTTTGAAGTATGAAGAGTCGATCAACAAGAATCGACCATCGAGAATCGATCATTTGACAGGTTTCCTGTCAAATGATTATATCAAGCAGTAACTTTCGTCGCTTTTTGATGAATGCATAAGTCCAGTCCTTCGCTCTTAATTTTTAAAAAATCTCTACGTTCATCCTCAAACCAAAGTTCGAGCGGTCTGAGCAGTCTCCTACATTATGTGCATCATCTTTTTCTCATAGTTGCAGGGTTTGTGCGTTCCATAGCCTTCGGCCTTGGCTGGGCTTGTGTTGTCGACCTCTTCGGCGCTGATAGGACAGTGGAGACGCTGACGTCAGTTCAAATCTCGTACGGGATTGGCGGTTTACTGGCTTCCTCTGTAGCAGGTAATTCTTGCTCTTGTTATGCGCTTCTCCACTATGTTGCTTATTGCATACAAAGCATGTTTATAATTTAGTGGTATCAACGTCTTTGCTTGGGCCCTTGCGCCAGGGCAAATCCATGCTTAGAAAGGTCAGACTTCAGACCAGAGACCGTTATGGGTATGGTCGGCATGACCAGTCGTCCAGCCTTGATCGGTCGCTACATGCCACCTCGTATGTATAACTTACAGCCAATACCCAAATCGGATCGCCAAATATGTACAAACCTTCCATTTTTCAAAAAAAAAAGACACCACAGAGTGTCATATAGCACTTCATGTCGCAACTCGATACGGCCTTGACCCTTTGAACTCTTCCGATTTGGAAAGTAACAGCCTGGATGTATTTCAACAGATCTTTATGAATGCAAATGCAGGGTAAATTTATGCCATCTTCGGTGTAAATGTTTTATGATAACTGTAAAACAACTAAGTGTGGTGTCATGTTCACATTTCCTTAAAATTGATTTGACGTGCGCCCCTCTGCAAACCACATCTGGGAACGATTGGAGAATGAGACCACGAAGTATTATATTCGATCTGCCTCTGATAATAAGGTAAATCCTTCATTCGCTCACGCAGGCCTTAGCTACGACCTCACGGGCACCTACCAGACCACGCACTTCATATGCATGGGACTGTGGGCATTGTCGAGCCTATGCTACGCCGTCGTGCACCAGTGGAGTCGAATCACTTCCTGCAGGCCGAAAGTCAACCGACCGTCACATCTTGCCACCTTGAATTAAAACACACTGTATTCGGAACTTTTGTACGTCTGATAAAGACGATGGCAACATTTTGGAGCCACGTTGGTGGCAGCTACAGTATTACTAATTCATGCCAAAGTATAACATTTAAAATATAACACTGGTGAACTTTGTTTAAACTGTTTGGGGACACACGGGCTGTGCAACCGTTCGGGTACATGTACCTAAAATCGATGTTGTGTTTGCGACTTCTCTTACAATGTATCTACGTTAGTACTGATTGGTATGGGTATATGAGAGAGCACGCAGTGTGCATGGCCTAGGGTAGGAGGTATGATTGGTTGCAGCCTTGGGTAAGTCACTTGTATAGTCTCATTGTTTCTCTCCGTCTAAGGGCGGGTACCTTTTCGAGAGTAGAGATGGTTCTCGGCTTCTCAAGGGACAGCACTGAGCTTGATGCTTCCCGTGGAGTTGAAGGTGGTTTAGGGAATATTTATAGGGCTGGTGGGCAGTTATAATTACGATAAAGCACTGAAGAACCAGCTGTGATGGATATGTCTGTTTATTATTTTATTTGCTCGTATGAACATCCAGTTAAGTTGCTGAAAATTGAGAAACGCTGAACTTTCAATCATGCTGTGCCAGTGTAGCGTTTGGCATTTTCTTTCAATAACATTGCTAACTTAAACTGTATGTATGTAACTGTATGGGTTTTTTATTCCAATGCCAAATAGTATAGTCATGGCAAAAGTGTGAATGAAATAAAACAAGACGAAGCTTCGATGCTAGTTATTCCAGCATAAAAATAAAATTGCCACTGAGAAGGTTGAAAGTTAAATTTTAGATTTTCTTTTGTCGTTGATTTTTGTCTCAGTTGTTGATAGTAGAATAGAGATATCTGCAGTAAGCTTTTTTTAGATTACAAATATTTGGGAGAGAACAGTGTCTTCCTGAAATGACATCACAACCACAGCATCCTCGTTTGTCACGGAAAAGGTGGAAAATTTGAAATTTTAAAAGCAATAGTATTAACTAAGAAACGGTGTGTCAATCATTTAAAAACAACAATTTGTGTAAAAGAGCGTTTTCTCATAAACCCTTTAATATGTTGAAACGATGAACACAATCTGGTTGTTGACTAACATTGTCGTGAGGTTGATTTTTTAACTCTTCTGGATGGCAAAAAATACCGTGTGGCCATTTGTCCCAACAAATACGTCATGAACATTTGATTCTAGTCCTGCATTTCGAAATATTGTCCCAAACGGTTTTGTTCAAGACCAGCCTCATTTTGACTTTTATTTATTTATGACCATAAATTAATGAAAATAGATTTGAAATAGGCCCTACTGATAACCAGCGCTTCCTTTAGCTGTAGGAACATAAAATAGGTGTATTCACCCCATGGTCTGCGCACCTTATTGTTTCAAGTGTTTTTTTTTACGGTTTGGTACAATTTTTTTTCCATATTTTCTAAGGATGGCAGTCACTGATTCAGAAAAAAACTTAATAAAGTCGTTTTTATGGAAAGAGAACACAACCACTCGTAGAATTTGTCTGCTTTATTGCTGGTTATTGGTATCAAATATCTTTGTACTCCAAAGCTATTTATATTTCAAACTAGTCATCTTAAAACAGAAGAAAATATTCGGCTCATGGAAGGGATTGCCGGAGAATGTTGCGTTCCGCCTGTTCTAGTCTAACCATGTTTCTGAGGAAGAAAGACCTCTCATTGAGCATCTTGTGGTGTCAATTGATCTCGATCACGAATGTCTTTATCCGCAGTGGAGACGGGGGAGCTATCTTGGTGGTAATTACAAACAGGAAGTTGTTGACCTCCGACAGGAAGCAATCCGCCTTAAACTCTGGGCCATCCGTGTCTTTGACCAGGGAGAGGTACCTGTTTGTGAATGTGGAGTCAAGGGAAGAGGAGCGAAACAGGAACTGTGTTAATGCGAAACCTTGCGTTATTGTTTGGGATCCCTCTGTCCACATGGACAAAGAGGCTTTGCGTGGTAGCCATCTTGCAGGGAAGTTCTTTTGTTCCACAGGGAACCTCCTTTGTGCATACCCTGTGGAACAAAAGCACCAGCCTGCAAGATGGCAGCCGTGTAAACCCTCTAATGAGTCGTTCCCAAAGACATTTCCACACAATAAATTATAGATAATTCAAAGAAAACTCCCAAAGAGTCAGAGAAATTGTGTCAATCAATGCCCTCCCAAGCTTTCCTTCTGACGACGTCTTTAAGAAGGGCACTCGGTGTTAGGTTTAACCACGGAGCTATTATACTCGTGTTTAGTACTTCCATGGTTTAACATGTTCCATCCTTCGTACTTCATAGAGGTGACATGTAAACCTTTAACCCCCTAAAGTCCGCTGAAAATCATATCGAAATTGCTGGGCCGAAACTTTTGAATTAATCTTTACTTCGGTGTAGTGAGTAAAAACAGGCAAGGAAAGTCAAAAAGGAAAAGTATGATCGGTGCTGGGGACTACAAAAAATTCGGAAACGAGAAGAAAGTTTGCAGGCCTATCACTGTGAATTTTCTTTACAAAATGTGGCCAAAATCTGCTTTACACTGTAACCATCTCAATGAAGCTGATGTAACTGCAAGTACATGCACGTATAGAAATTTCCATGTACATTATTTATGTTTCTGGAGCGCATGATGTCATGGGGGATCTTAGCCTTTTGGCCTTTTGCAGTACAGCTTACTGTCAGCGTGAAGTGCCCGTCGCCAGCGCTTAGCTATATCCCTACAGAATTCGGGCTGATGTCTGAACGCAGCAGAGTGGGACCTGCAGTACACTGTCAAAAGAATTTACCCCTCGGCAAAATATTTCAAATTTGGACGAAATAATCACGGCGTTTCAGAATAGTGCGCCTCCAAGAGATTGCAACGAGTTGACCGATCACAGTGCGCAAAATCTGTCGGCCAAATGCGCGTCTGGAACGGGTCGTCAGATTTCGCGCCTTGTGACTGGTCGACGCGTCGCAAACTCTTGGAGGCGCACTGCTGTGAATCGGCCCTATTGTGAAAGACCAGTGTTAGAGTCGAGTACAGCACAGTGAATCTTTCCACATCATCATTTCATCTTTTTTCCCAAGACCATTAGTAGCTGGGCGAACAAAGGACCGCTTGGGTCACACTCCATCCGAATAGCTTGCCACTTTGGCTTCAAACCGGATGACTTATGAATGACTCGAGAAGGGTTCTTGTTGGTCTTGTGGAGACTCTACAACAACATGTGTTAAAAACCATCAGTGCATCATCATGATGTATCAGTCACACTAATTATTTACGCCTGCTCACTTTTCATTCTTCATGATCTCCTTGGAGAGGATATCATCCATCAGTCCCTTCTGGACTTCGTCGAATTTCGTCACGCAGACGTCGAAAAGGTCCGAGTCCTCTAGATCAAGAACCAGAGGCTTCCCGTATCTGATTAAGGAAGAAAGACAGCATCTTATCCCCTCTGAAAGAAAGTAGTTTGTTAGTACCTTATACACTACTTGCCCTAAAATCTGAAGCGCCCACAAGGACATACATGTATATGGAGGAATTGGTGAATGGGAGAGGGGAATGGCTGGCCACGACTAACCCCTCCCCCCAAAAGGGCGATTTTTTAACAGTATGAAAAAGGCGATTGGAGCACATTTACTACTAAGTTCTTTTCCAAAGTGTATGACACGCCCCAAACTCTAGCCTTACCCCTGAAAAGCGCATAATATTGTATATAAAGAAATTCCTAAATACCAAGACCACCTTCAACTTCTCCCCTCCCCCCACAGAATTTGGGTCAGGACCCGCCCTTGTGCAGAGTTAGACTTCAAGATGTATTTTTTTGCGTTGGGGAGATGTTAATTATATATAACGGGTTTGCCCTTACCCAACGTATATTAATAAACACTGTATGCTCAGTGCTTGTCCGAGAGCCAGTTTTTTCGCAAGCTCTCGGACAAGCACTGAGCATACAGTGTTTATTAATATACGTTGGGTAAGGGCAAACCCGTTATATATAATTAGAGTTAGACTTGCGTTCAAATTAGGTGGGATGTCAAACGCTCTGCTTCAAGATTTAGGAGCTTCGAGAATCTACAGCTCGACAACAGTTTACCTCAATCCTGCCAGCACAGCCCGCCGGATGGTGTTCGGCACAAGGTCATTCGGAGTTCTAGCATTGAGCAGGATGGCGTCTCGATACTTGAGGAAGGTGGCCGCGTTGCCAGTCGGGTCTAACACCACCGGCCATCTGCACAAGGGTCGAGCTAACCGGTCAGAAAATGATAGAAGCCCCAAGGAGGAGGTCCGCGGTAGTGGACCTACTTCTGGCCCTTGAGCCCGCTTTCAAAGGAGTGTATAGTCTATAGATCTATATCTATCTTTTGATTATAAGTACGTAATGATCACCATTTTGTACGGCTGCATGTATAGCCTAAACGTACGTAACTCTTGGTTGTAGTTTCTCACTTCATTTGAATCTCAGGATTTGATGACTCGATTGCAACCTCTGCATACAGTGTTGGGAGAACCCACAGAAGCTGATAGAAAATCTGTCTACATTGCTCTTCCATTTTTGTCTTTCATAGCCTGCAATGAGTGCTTCAACAAGGGTTTCAAATTGGAAGTGGTCATTGTTTTGTTAGTAAGCAACATAATTCTGTCTTAAATAACTGTGGTGTACAAACAAATTGCTTGCGAGGGAATAGTCTTAACACCTGTCACTGATGTTACAGTCAGTAGGACCAATGAACAAGCGCCCTCTTCCAGTTTTGCCTGAACCCAATAGAAAGAACATTCTGGGTTAACAGTGGATACTAATTCTATGGTATTTCCTACCTTCCAGATTTTTTGTAGCTTGCTTCATTACACAGTAATTCATTGCTGAAGTCACTGAACTTTATTGATACCCCGAGATCTGAAGACTTCTCAACTGGCACATCTGCACTAAACAAAGACACATGTATGACACCTCACAACTGTTTTTGCTAGTTTTTTGGGCATTATGGTTTTTATATTCGGTTGATAGTTTTCGCTTCGGGGGAGCTGTTTTGACTTTTTTTGTTATTTGGCGTTTTTAGCTACTTCATTTCAGGGATTAGGGTATGTTGAGGACTCTGTACTTGTGCACTTTGTATTTGGCATATAATTATACAGTATTTCTACTAACTTACATCCTAAAAAAATATTCATTGTGTTGGTGACGGGAAGGCAAAAACAACATGTGGTAAAGCGGTGTACTTTTGAATAAAGTGCAATAACAAATTTGGAGAGTTGTTACCTCGGTCTTGGTTGAAATCTTACGAAAACGTGCAGCAGCGATACATAAAAAACAAGTCGGGAAATAATTTCTCACGAATAAAAGGAAGTATGAATTTTGTTATATAACCTTTCTCAGTCGAAGCTGCTGATTTTTTTGGAGGCATGTTGTGCACTGTTCTCCCTCTTGGTGTTAAGGCTAGGTAGTTTGATTGATGACACTAAATTATCTTCTTACTTGAGCTAATGAGGACAGAGAAAGACAATTAATGTGCTCTGTAACGACCAACTCGATTAGTTTTCTGTAGGACAATGCGGATCAAGAGTTGACCAATACAGTGAGTCTGCATCGGGTTTTACTGCGCATCATACCAGTCAATCAACTGGTTTACTTTCATTCAGTTCCAAATTGCGTGTACTAAAGACAGGCCTACTTGATGTTGATTTTATGCCCCCTTCATAATTAATCCAATCCTTCAGTTTCATTTAATCTTACCTCACTTCAGAAGGCGAATCTCAACACCTTCAGCAATATTACTGTTGTACTTACAGTTAAAACAGCTTCATGAGTTACCCAGGCAGCACAAGAAATGTGTGTGACTTCTTGTCTGATCAGAGGTCGTGCTGAAGCGGCAAACATGCACGCATGCCTAGCTCATTTTAGTGTCCTGATATAAAGTAAACACCAAGACAACGTTTCTATTTGTACAACTACGGAGCTATACAACTCAAACAGAATAGGGTTCTTCACTTTCTTTTTAAGTGCTCCATGTTTGTTTGCAGTGCAACTACCCCATTACGTAACACTTACTAATCAATACTAAGCCTAATCGCGAAACCTGGATAATCGATGGCTATATGACTGTAAAGTTTTTCTTATTTTTTTGGAGAGAGTGGCAGTCTGCAGGAAATGGGCGCAAGGGGTATATGGGTGGACGATATCCATTGACCTTGAGGTGGATAACCTTGGTCCGCTTTCCTTTTTTTTTGCGGGGGACTTGTCCAAACCCCAACACTGATTTGTTGATAGGTCGATTGCAGTGGCAAAAATATTGCCTATGGACCCCAAAAGCCTTACTTCATCAGTCGGAAACAAATGTTCAAAGTGTTCTTTGCTGGACGCTATACTAATTTTCCCCTTTACCTATTAGCAATATGAAAACAATAACAAGTCCAATTTGAACAGAGAAAATATCGAGGCATTCACTTAGGAAACACAGAGTTTTTCAGACTAGTCAAAACAGAGTCTGTGCGGCATAGAGTGTAAAGAGGCCCCGGCATGTCCACATACCAAATTCTTCCGAGGACAAAATTTCAATGTATGCGACAATCGTGGTTTCGGTTTCATGCAGACCTCTATGCATGCAACTCGTACGTCCATGTCAGCCATGCAAGGAAACACTGTCTTTAACTAAACTCCGAGCTGAATAGGTATTAGTACAGCATCAAAGCAACAGGAAAAGATTTGAAAAAGTTGGCAGTCGCTTCCTTAAAAAAGAGAAAGAGAAAGAGAAAAAGAATCACAAATCTAGGCCTGATTGCTGGAATTGTAACGTTACACATGAATCTTGGACAGCTTACCTGTATGGATAGCAAGGTCGCTATACTGACAATGCAGGGTGGCATTTGATGTTTTTGTTTGATTTGGTTTGTAATTGGTTCAATTTTATCGCTTTGGGTTTGTTTTCGACAGTCCTTGGAAAATATAGGTTGAAATTTGCAGGCTGTGAATAACCTCGAAAATCTAGACAATAAAATATTTCACAGCTTTGTAAGTCACAATATTTCCTCATATTTTGATCATTTTCCTTTCAATTGCTGCAGAGTTAAGCAAATGACTCGAATTTACGGCAGAATTAACCTATAGTCTTGAAACCCATTGCCACTTTGAAAGTAGCTACGGACCTACTACACAGTGTGCAAATTAGGCAGGTGTGTTTTGTCCGAATTGCTGAAAAATACGAGCTAGCAGTCCTGCCAGAAGCTTCCACTTTTCGTTTTTACACCCCCAGTTGACTGGCCCTAAAGTAGTAAAAAAGTAAAAAAGAATTTTGGCCTGCAACCTCAGCAATGGCTAGTGGTGGATGTGGAAATTCTTAACCCAGACTTGGTTGCATTGGGAGATAGAATTTCATGGAAACACAAGAGAAGCTTTAACACCGAAAAAAAACCAAACAATTACAAATGGTAAGAAGTGTCCGATTTCCTTAGAATCCATGAAAAAAATGTCCAACGGGAGCCGTTTAGTTCAAACCAAAGAAACAAATTTCTAGACTGCAACATATTGGAAGGACTTATGACTTGTGAGCGGTGGACGTACAGTATACCTTGATGATCTCGAGTGGGACTCAAGACACAATCTACAGCACCCCAAATGTCACTGCAAACCAAAACTCAACACTGTATTGTTAAATCAACTCCCTAAAGATAACAGGAGATTAAAAATACTCAAAAGAATGGTATGATAGTAATGATGCAACTAAATCTCTACGATTATTTAAATTTAAACCACATTGTTCCGTCACACTAAACAAAACTTCAACATTCTGAAATATCCAATTAAGAAACAACACACATGCAAATTTCTGACTGAACTGAACTACTATGATGTTTTTAAACACACTTCTTGCAGTGAAAATAGTAGAATTGTTTAACATACATGTAATTGTACATGAATTTAAACACTTAACTGGATTGGATTTTTAATTATCACTGCAGGTCAAACAATGCATGGATATTTGCTATTGTATATGGCATGATTTTTTTCAATTCACTACTGTCCTTGATATACACATAAACAATTAGTTGGTTTATTCACTGAATGTGAATAGAGCTTTACGCCTTCTGTAGTTCTGCAGAATCTTAAAAAACACCGGCTATTGAAGCAAACCTTTTATATCACATTTCAATCAAACAGTGTAATTTGTCAACCGTCACTCTTTTGCACATTATGTATAAAAAGGTATACTCTTCTGACAATGACCTCGGTGATTTTCAGAATAATTTGCAGAGGAATGTATCTTTTCTGTGAATGATACTCTTATCAAGGTTGAAATTATTTCATCACTTTTAAAGCAAAAATTACTTCACATTTAAAATAATGAAAGAACGTGTTTAAACTGAACTACTGTATGCGGGCTATCCATCGACTACTTTAACTTTAAATCGTTTCGTGGGTATACCACAATGCCAACGACGCCTCTACTTACATGAAGAACCACTGACGTAAGTCATCATACATCATCAAATAACATATGTTAATCACGTGCTTGATACATCGTTGATATCTCCATAAGATGGCAAAATAGCATTTGCATTCAATCACTCACCGAAAATCTCAGTTTTAAATTCACCATCAAATAGTCGGTTACCTGTATTCTGCAAAGCTCGGTCTACTCTACATCTAGAGTTGTTACAATTGTAATAAAAATTTAATTGAATTACATAAAAAAGCCAATACCCGTGGAAGAGATGACTTTTTAAGTAATTCGCACCTGCAAGAGATACTTTTCCATGCACAAGCAGAATACATCAAACGCATCTTCAAACAGACCCATTCATACCACTTGCAGATTGTTTTTAGAATGAATTTGTATAATAGTGTCCATGACACAGCGATGACACATTAAGCAAACATTATGCACGCGATACAACTTCAGTCGAAGTTTTCATTAACTGGGCTCTAGAGTGATTTTTCCCACACCATGCACGATGTGTGGAAAACACCGTTGAAGCCCATTAGGTATTAATGATTCATGTATTCTTTATCGCTTCATATCCCACTCCATGTTTCAACATACATAAATTTATACGTTTTTGAAAACATAACTGGATCAAATTTTTAATTATCACTGCAAGTCAGACAAATAGAATGAGTGGAATTTGCTTTTTGTATATAGCATGAAATTTTTCACCCCACTACTTTCCTTGATACAAACAGTTAGTGTACAATTTGTTTGTTTATTCATTGAATGATACGGTAATAGAGCTTTATACCATCTGTAGTGCTATGGAATCTTTAAAAGATCGGCTGTTGGAGCCCGCATTTTGTATCACATTCCAATTAAACACATTACGTATAAAGGTTGTTCTGATAATGAACTTGATGATCTTGAAAGTAACTTGTAGAGGAATGTACTTTTTCTGTGAAAATGCACTTGTCAAGGTGGAAACTATTTCATCACTTTTAAAGCAAGACTATTACTTCACAAGCAAAAAAGAAAGAACGAGTAAATCGAATTATAAAACTTTACTACATTAAAATGATTAAGGCTATCTATCAACTACTTTAAATTAATATTGTCGGTATACCCTTGAGAGATATTTTTGTTTATCGCTAACAACGCAGGTAGTAGCTCACAGCTCACTCAAAGAACCACTAAGGCAAATCGCAACACATCAAAATAATATATACATTAATCACGTGTTTGATACATCGTTGACATTTCCACAAAGTTGCACCCGAACCTCGTCTGTTAAACTCATGTTAAGTCATGAAACACAACAACACGCATACGAGTTCTAAGTTCTCACAACCTCATTTCAAACTTTTATAACCTTTTTGCAAGATGTACACGGGAAATAACTCTTGAACCCATTACCGGTAACTATTCATAGTCTTTTATCGCTTCATTTTCCGTTTAGAATTACAATTATTCAGAAAGTCGTGAAAACATATCACCATTCCGATGCTATGGTGGTTGAGTACATGCACATCTTTTCGTCGTTAAAAGGCAGATTTGCTACATTTCAATCATTTTCTACACTATTCAATCTTTTTATTATGAAAGAAATAGTCCTCTGACACAGTACGGCTCAACGAGTATTACATGTACATTGCTTGAGGTTCGTTTGAAAACATTTAGCATGATTAAAATCAATAGGGCTGGTAACATTTTCCATTCTGAATGTCAAACTGCGACACGGATTAAACCGAAGATCCTGGCGAACTCTTGCTATAATACAGACAGCCAAGACAAACACGTGAAAATGTCGACGAGACTGGTACCGTAATTACTTGTACTCCAATAATTGTACTCTGCAGAGGCCACATATAGCTTTATATATTTTATCATTTAGAGCTCCAATACAACATTTGAGCAGAATCTTTCAAAATGCAAAAACTTGGCTTCAACTACCTACGACACTCATACTCTAGAAATTCACTCAAAATACTCTTGAAGTTGCAGTTTTTGATAATGTTTAACCATAAAAACTAACAGAATTGCCTGATAAACTTTTCTGCGCTGAAAACACAAATACCGAATTGACACGCCTAGTAAAAACTGCCAAACAAATATCAAAAATTAATGTGCCAAACTTCAGCCCCAGCACCAGTATATATAGAACAAAAACACTCTCCGTCTATGGAAACAATTAAAGTCTGCGCCAATGCTGAAAATCGTTACCTTTTATTCGCAGCAAGTACTTACATGTCGCAAATTTTGCTTATGTAATAAACCTCGAGATGATCTTCACATGTCTAAAATATTTATGTAACGCGATACGCAGACAATATTTATCCATCCTCATTCGAAACAAAAATAATTTTGAAAACCCATCAAACTTTTTGTAAGAGTCACAAAATGCGAAAACATGCCCAAATATCTATGCATACTCCCGAGGCGAACATAAAAAGCTTTAATAGAATTCACTTGATTACAAAACTACGAAACGGAAAACGAAAAACACACACACACACACACAAAACCAACCAAACAAATAAACAAACCAGAACCCCCCCCAAAAAAACAAACAAAAAACAAAAACACGATTAAGGTCTTACAGGAAAATTAACTTCCAGTTTGAATTTACGCACATGTAGTAAAAGGCTGTAAGTTTGGGCATAATGTGCAATGGCAGACTGGAGGGAACGTCATAATACACGCAAGGCTTTATGCGTTGGTGGTAGACAAAGACACATTGCTTATAACAGAATGTACTGCACTGTCAACACCTAAGTTTTAAAACTCCTTGATTCCAATGATGCTCTGTACGAGGCTAAGTAGACGGGTGCAGAGTGTTAAGGCTTTTTCTTTACTGAAACCCTGATACACTTGTCCACTTGTCTTTGAGCTCAAACTCTCAGGGTAGCGAGGATTGTTAAAAAGACAATCAAGCTGTTCCAACTCATCTGTTAGCTGTATTAGCTCATTGGAGGTGACATAGCGGTGTCGGCAAACTGTGCTTGATAATTCACTAAGATTGTTACTGTGACTATTAGGACGACCGGTGAGGTTGTACTGGGCTGCCTTCAAAGCTACCTCGGCTGCTTGATGTACCTGGAAGGCTATCCACTGCTGCGGAGTGGATTGGAGTTGACTTGTCTGCTCAGCTGAGGTGAGATGCTCCCTGGCCTGACGGAACCACAGTCGTGCACTTCGTGGGTCTGGAATCTCTTTGGAGAAAGATGGTGGCACGTAGCGGTTGCTCGCTCTATTTCGTCTCCTCCGTCGACTTTGATTGTACATCTGTTGGTACCACCTGGCTTCTTCCCTGTCTCTATTAACCTCTGATTCCCATTTGGTGTAATGGCGGCTGTACTGTTTTTTCGAATCGTAGCGATCTATCTCCTGTTTGAGGAATTTAAAAGCCTCAGTAGTACGTTCCTCTTGACCCGGGTTCTTATCAGGATGCCACTTACGATACAGACGGTGCATTACTCCATTTCGCTCTTCTCTGGGCAGCGCCATGGCTTCCTTAACTTCCCTCTCAATCTGTTCTCTGTCTCTCTGGGGGTCTTCTGGAAGGGTTTTAGCTAACGATCCTCCGTCATCTGCTTCTTTCACATTCAGAAATTTAAACAGTGTTGTCACACTTACAACGATGTGTTCTTGCTTCCCGATTTCAATCTTGTACCGTTTAGACAGGATACTCCCCTCGTCACTCTTACCAACTTGATCAACGATTTCTGCATAGACAACTTCAGTTTCTTCTTCGGTAAACGCGGCAAGTGATGTTGTCCTTTTCCCCTTTCTCCGCGTTGTGGATCTGTCTTCTTGAGGCGTCTCGTCGAGAGTTCTTTTGTAGCCTACGATCTCCCCCTTTTCAAAACGGTTAAAAGGGTCATCGTTCAGGAGAGTACGCAAATCACGGGGTATGATGCTTCCTGACTGATGAGACTGAGACGGAAGTCCCATGAGTTCTTCATTGTAGTGTGGAATCCTACGCAATGAGAGTACTTCATTCATCTCGCAAGGGCTTTGGCAGTCCAATGCACTCTGCAGAATAGCCACGTGCTTGTCATTCAATAAACCGCCTAAGAGGTGGTTGCAACATTCAGCGATTTCGGAATATATCTGACTGATGCGCTGCCTCAAAGGCCAGGTGTGCTCTAAATACAGTGTACTTGTACTGCTGTCCAAAAAAGCTTTTCTTGAAAACCTTTGGTCTGCTACTTTCCTGCTATTATTGTCGTAGAAGCCGACCTTCAATTTTTCCTGACAGCAAATCTGATTGAAGCTTTGCAACACTTCAATACGCTTTACATCCTCCTCACATAGTTCCTTTTCTTTCAGCTGGTGTTGATACAGTCTTAGCAACACTTCCGTCATCTCTTCGGAGTTCACCATCTCCTTGATTTTCGCCAGGTATCGACATTTTTGTCCCTCCTTGCAGTCCTTATTGGTATGGCATGGCTTCTCCTGCAACTCATCTTTTAAGAATTTAGGACGAAGTCCTTCTGGGAGATAGCTGAAGAGGACTATTTCATTCCTACATCTAAATCCACACTTTTTTGGGGGGAGCATAAACTTTCGACTGCCAGTAGATACCATTTGCTGAAGATCATCGTGATCTGCATAGTACAGCTGTGGGGCCTCCTTCAGCATGTCGTCTGTTGTAGGTAAGTAAAGCTTGGAAACAGATATTTGACATTTATCTTTCTGGTCACGCAACAATATGAAAATGCCCCTCACGGCACACGCTACAGTTTTTTGTTGATTTGGATTTAGCTTGAGTTGCCCTCTATCGCAATCATTCTCTACATCAGATAAAACTCTAGCAAGCTGATCAAAGGAACATTTTTTCTGTGCCCCCAACAGTACAAAGATGTCATCGAATACCCCAAATTTTCTTGGTGCCTTGAACACGTACGGTTTGAGAGCGCTTTCATCGTCATCTCCTAAGTCCAATACGAGCTGATCTGCTCTGACAAAAACACGTCCGTCTTCTACCGGGCATATTGGAGCGTTCAATAAAGCCTGTCTTATGTTCCCCCTGTACCCATACAAGCATTTGGCCAAATGTCCAAGTATGTTTTGCATGACTCTGGTAGCTTGTACCCTCAATTCCTTTGATAATGTGTCCTCCTTGTGAATTGCGTTCTTCTTTTCCATGCACTGGCATATCAGCTTCGTGTGGGACAACACCTTCTCCATGATCCCGCGCTCCTCTGATACAATGCCAAGACAGCTGTGAACGGTAACTCCCGGTGCTTTATTCTCTATGTGCCTGTCTCCTGCAACCGGCAGGGCCCAATTTGGTAATACATTGCAAACTGACCAGACAAGTTCCATGTACTGTGATGCAACTGACCCATGGAATGCAATAAAGGCCTCCGAGCCCTGAAATAGAACGTTAGATTCTGAGTAGGCGGGGCAAATATCGAGGAGTTCGGACTTAACTGGGACGGAAGGAATAAACTTGATCGTTCCAATAATTCTCAGAGTACTTTGATCATGCAGGCTCGAATTGGAATCAAGTTCATTCTTCAAAAGTTTTGCATTGTCCCACAGCTCTCGCAGCTGATTTTTATCTGTGATGCGTCTGGCTCTTGTTTCTATTTTTCGCGCAAATACAATGAAATCATTGGGGTTTACAACGGTATGTAGACCTAATTCTTCGAGGAAATCTCTCATTTGAGGCGTCATAAGCTCCGGTAGCTCGGGCAGCAACGTCTCGGGATCAACCATTGCCTTAAAGACCGGGTTTCGTGGGTCATAGAAATGACTTGCAGGTTTCAGAGTGTTCGACTGATCACGAATGAACGGAATATGAGTAAGGCGATTAATAATCGCGTCTCTATCTTCCCGTAAAGTTTGATACATGTTAAGGATTTGGTCCCTGATGTGTACGACATGTCTGATTCTTGCCTTCTCTGTGAACAGGTCAAAACTTGGAAGAATGTACTTCAAGTAGATGTCAGCGTGTGTGATGGGCGATATTCCAAGTTCCTTGTAGATCAAAGTCAAGGTGGGATGAACTTCGAGGAAAACACAGTTCATGTTCTCCATCCAGATATTTGCTTCCTCCATCAACATGTATCCCTCAAAAGTGTGGTAACGCCGAGGAAGTTGAATGTCTATGATCTTATTTACACCACGAAGCTTGAAAATCGGGAGCATTTTGATTGTCTGGATATTCTGAGTTGACAACGTCTTATCACTGAGTCCTTCCTGGAAGTAATGCAAAAGAGTGTCGCATTCTGCAGGTTCAAGGTTACCGACTGGGAGACATGTTTCTGACATGAACCGGATTACATTGGCTACGTCTCCGTGTGACTTTGGCAATGTTAAGTACTCTTCAAGTATCACTGTAAGCTCTTCAGGTGGACGTATTGTATTTCCATGGCACATTCGCTCCTTCGCAATTTCCGGCAGACCTAGTTTGCGAAGTACTCCAGCCAATTTTAACCCAAATCCAAGCGTACCAGTACCTAAAGTGTGGAGGGACAAGATCGTCTTCGATTTGGTGGGCGGCACCAATTTTCCAGCCGTTGTAGGAAATATTGGCCAGTTCTCAATAGGTCGGAGGGACTGCTGTGGTTTCTCTTCGGTCGTCTCACTGCATATGAACCTCCACAAGTCTTTCAACCAAGTTTCTGACGGGTGACCTTTCTTTTTAGGTTTCCATTCTACATGTAGATTGCACCATCGCCATTCCTGTGGAAGTTGCTCTTCCAAGTACCTGCCTAACTCAACGATGGTAAACCTCTTGAATAATCCACTAGTAAAAGCCTCATTCGAAATGCCGTTCTTCTCAAACCAACCAGTACATAAAGTCACCAGATCTTTGTGGAGGAACATGCCACCGAGGGTAGGCAGCACCTTCCAATGTCTTGTCAAGTACAGCCCATCTTCCGCAGTAAACTGACTTAGAGTATCATCATTCGCAAGCTGAAGTGGGAGGCTGCGAAGCTCCAGGGGCTTCGTAACGCCGCCAAGGCAATATTCGAGCACCGCGCTGAGCGTTTTAAAATTTTTGTATGCGGTCTTCGTCAGTGGAGCTGGCAAATCTGGTGCGATTACTGACTCAGATAATAGGTGTCGCACAACAGCCCCCGGAGATACGAACTTGGCTTGAACATTGCAGGCTTGAAATGCCCGGCATAGTTCTGAGGAGCTGACTAACAGATTAAAGCCAACGTTGAGAAGAAATGGACGCAGTAAGGCTGAGGTACCTGACTGGTTCGACATTTCTGCCTTCTCGGACACACTGGAATCGCCTTCATCCAAACCATCGAAAAACGCCAGACTCGTGTCACTGCTCGGATGGTGCCAGCTAATCTTGCCAGACAGTCTCACCACAGGCAGGACCTCTAGCTCGTTCTTACCAATGTAGCGCAGTGTTGCCTCAGCCAAAAGACGCCATTCCCCACGTAATACCTCCAAATTCTTAGGGAAGATGTTATCGTATGGAATCAGCTGTTCTTTATACGACTTCTTCGCTTTGACTTCTCCAAGCATGTTTCTGCCCGCGTGTTTGATCAATTCAGCATATGCCGGAGCAATCACGTGTTGTACTAGCAACCTGTTCCATCTGTGGATAAGGCCGTCCTTCGAACTTTCCAAAACTCCAGCATAAGCATCACCCTTCTGAAGACTCTTTCTTGCAGCGTCTAACTCAAATGTCCCATTGACATGCACGGGTAACTCTGTGTATATCGGCAGTGGCAGAAAGCAGTAAGCTTTATATCCCGCACCCCCGGTTTCTTCTTTATTGCTGCCATTCATCAATGCCGCCACTCCCCCTCTCGGCAGAGGCTTCTTCAGACTTGCCGCACTAGACAACTCTTGCATATTGATATCAAGATCTTTAAAACCCAGCATTTGGGAAATCAACCAAGACTTCATAGTACCTGTTGAATCCTTCGTCGCAACACTGTAGACACATGACATAGGCTCAATTTCCTGACACGGGAGCTCCTTGAACAGCTTCAAGTGGTCGACAAGTTTCATGCGTCCTTGATAGTCTTCGTCTGCTAACTTGGCATTGATGTTGTACCGTTGACGAAGATGACCTGTCTTCTCGTCAACATGAGAAATGGTGATAGTGTTGATGTTATTCAAGAAAAGCACAGCGTCTTGAGATACCTTCTGGAAATCACCTAGCAGTTTATACATGGCTAACGGGGAGTAAACTTTGCTCGAAATTGCAGATGCCTCTTTTCGGAGGGGAAAGCGGAACACTGTCCCTTTCTTTCCGAAGAATGTCTCAATGTCTTCCAGATATCCACTCAACATGTCGGGATACAGCTCTCTGAATTCATCACTAGTTGAAAACCTTCTACCTGGGGATGTCTTTTGCGTCCCTTGAACATACCTCAGTAGGGGGTCAAACACACACAACGTGTCGCTGTTGCTCAAAAAACTTGGACAATCTGTCAGATGGTAAACGGCATTGAAACCAATACCAAATTTCCCAGTTGTTGCAATGTCATCTCTCTTCCCTCCCACTCCTACCTTCTGAATTCCCTTGATGTCTGCTTCAGTGAAAGGTCTGTCGTTGTAAACACACAAAGATGGTAGTTGTTGTACAGGAGCCCAAGAGTCTGATACCACTTTCTTTGACTGATGACTGCGAGGATCGTACACGAAATGTATTTCTGTGGCGCCGGCATCATCCGCATTTTGAAGCAGCTCTTTGAAGACGTCAGAAACATTAGGATAGGATCTGAGAATACCACTCAGACGATCTGTGAGTTCTTCATATTGCCCAAAATCCATTTCGAAACCGCTGGATGAAGAACATGTTGCAAGCTGCCTTTCTCTCTGTGTGATGATGTGAAAGACTTTAGCGTGATTGTAGGAGATGTCTGGATGTGTGTAGATACTGCTTCCCCAATTTCCTTCCCAGTCGACGTCATTGAAAGTTAGTTCTGACGGTGTTCGCAGGATGCTGCAATTGTCAGGGATGAAGATATTGACATCCTTCAAGCTGTTTTTGGTTTCTTCTGGATCATATTTTGACTTTGAAACAATTTCAGATATCATTTCTTTTGCAGTTTTAAGATCAGGTTCTTGAAGTGGGCTGTCTCCATACTTTGCCTTCAACAGTTCCAGAGTTTGAAGGTAGTCTTTCACCTCAAAATTTTCTCTCACCCCACAAAGCTTCAGCAGATTCCTGAACTCTCTCAGTTCAAGAGGAACTCCAAACAAATACGGTCCACTTCGGGCACTGTAATCGAAAGCCAGTTGTTTGCATTCTCGAAACGACCCACCGCATAAGACAAACCCAAGAGTGCAAAGCTTGTCAAATATAGCACGATGTTTCTCTCTTACTGTTACGCGGGGTGAACCAAACTGTAATCCAGAATTCACATCACAGAGTGTACGCTGCAGGAAGGCGTACATGCCAGACACGACTGACGATGTTTGTGGCACGATCTCAGAGGACATAAGCACTGTCAGTTGTTGTATGACATCCGTGACTTTGATTTCTTTTGCATGGATGCCTAGGAAATCCTTGATTCGAGGACTTAACGCTTCTGGGCCAAGTCTCTCGTCGTCCAAAAGTGGCTGAACAGATCCCAATAAATCTTTGCGGCAGTATGCGTAGAGTCCATCGGCAGACATAAACTCATCGTCACAGCTGAACCATTTGACTGGGTAGTCACAAGGCTTTTTCAGCACAGGGAGAATATTTGCCATTAAGATTCGCTGCTTCTGGACTGACGAGGGTTGGTCAGAGTTTTTGAGCTTTCCACTAATCAGCTTCAGCAGCACTGCACTCCTCCCTCCGGTCTGATCACCGTTCAGCATTGACTCAGCTCGTTCACATATGTCTTCCCAAGACAAGTCATCCGATGCCATGCCAAGCTGGGTCAAGGACACAAGGCGTGCCGGTAAGCGAAATTCAGTGCCATGTGGAAACCGGCAGTCTTCCTCGCTGTAGAGTGTTGCTATTGACGTACAGGGATTCACCAACTGGTTAGGAGACAAAAGTTTGTCGCCGTTTGGTGAGGCAGGCACACATTTTGTCTTCTTCAACTCTTCATCATACATTGTAACATTCCTTCCAGGGAGACGGAGATCTAGCACATGCAGGATTATTTCCTTTATGTTTTCGGGCTCAATTTGTTCACCATTTACAAGAGCTGGAAAAAAGACCTTTCGCAGGAATCGCTCGACACTAAAGGTGTTTTTATCAAAGCATTTGTTTGCACCAGCTTCGAAGATGCTATTGATAACATCTGTTTCCAGCTCCACCCATCTCTTCGGATGTTGATTCTTGGCAAGCAAAGCCGTGACGCTACATTTCAAGCTTTCAGAATCAGTAGCAGTCCAGTCGGTGAAAAAACAGTCATGAACCGTCAACCATCGACCTTCATTGAAAATCACTGCCGGGGCGCTGTTTTCTCTCCCAATACATTGATAGAAGGAATCCACCAACGGGTGGAAATTGCTGTCGCATGCCTTCCTCTTTGGCCAGAGACTCTGGAAATTACGAGCATCTATGATGTTCTGTTCTTGCAACGTTTGTAGATCTTGGAGTAAATTCAGCAACGAATCGCGCAATACCGACTCCATGAAGCAGCAATTCCAACGAACCTCAAATTCTTCCGTTCCAGACGAGGATTTACCCCACAACTGCCGACGATTTGGCTGCAGTAAGAAATTGCCGTTCACATGGAAGGGCAAGTCCGTCAAAACATTGAGTGGCAGGTAACTGAAAGCACTTCCTTTTACAGGCTCAAGTTTCAGAGAGCCTTTATCACTTTCAACTAATTGGGCAGCGATTCCGCCGCAAGGCAAAACTGCTGCTTTCTGCCCTTCATGAGTTTTGGCTAAATCTGAAATCTTCCCCTTTGCCATGCAGGAACTTGTGATGAATTTCCAGTCTTTGATTGTCTCTGCAGTCTCACCATTTTCACCCCGTCTTCCAAACTTCTGGGTGATCTTCAGGATCATGGTTGTTTCTGGCAGAGGTGAGGCTGGGTCGTTCATGCATACTGATGTCGCCCTGAGTAAATTGCGTTCTACTGCCACGTCACTTTCTTCACTAGCAGTCACTGATATTGAGCGGGGCATTTGCTGAACTCTGCAAACTGTGACAGATATAATGTTATCCAGTTCAGTATCATTTTCCCACATCTCCTGAAGACTAACTTTCACCACGTTCTGAGTGAAAAGCAACAAAGTAGCTGAAGATTCCTTTAGGGACTTTATCAATGGGAAAACACTCTCCCTAGAGTCACAAATAAAGTCCGAAAGCTGATTGGGGTTCTGGCTATCAGCTCCAAATGCCGTACGCAGTGGTAACCGAAACAGTGTATGGTCGTAGCCTTTGGTTGAGGCCTTGAGGTCACAGCCGAAAATGCCATTGTAAGGTTGGAACTGGTTTGGGTAACTCTTCAGCGTCCTACGATGCCGGTCATTTGTCAAATCCAACTTGATTCCCGGCTGTCCTGGCTTCACTCGTGATCCAAGATGAATTGTTCTCGGATCACAGATCAAGACATAGGGGCCACTGACGACACTAGGAACATCTGTCAGATGGTAGACTGATGTAAATCCCAAACCAAATCGTCCAACTTTGTCCAACTGATGCTTTTTGCTTTGAGCAGCTATACTACAGATGTTCTTGATATCGTCTTTTGAGAAACGGGCGTCGTTGTAAGCCCAGAGAGCCGGACCGTGGCATGCCTTCATCCCGTCACCGAGAAGGTTGTAAGCAGTTTGCTCATTTCTGCGCCAATCAAGCAGGAATTTCACCTCCGTCGCACCCGCATCATCAGCATTCTGTATCAACTCTTTGAATATGTCTACATCATTTTTGTACATGTCCAGATTTCGCTTGATAGCGTTGACTGTCGTCTCATGAGGGCCCGCCATATCATATTCTACTTCATCCACAGGGGCGAGAAAGTGGCTGAGAGGAAGTAATCCCAAGCGCTGAGCTAAATCGTTTGATACAGACTCGTGGATGACTGGCTTATCGAACTCTTCCTGGGTCTCTTCATCATAGAGCTGATGGGCTAGTCTCTCTTCATCTACATATAAGCATTCTGGAGCCGATACCATTTTAATGCGCCTCTCGCCTTTTACCATTCTACATGGCACTAAGATCCTTGACGTCTGAGTATTAAAATCAACCAGATCAACGATGTACCTCAAGATATTGCAGACCAGATTCAAATCAGTTTGATAGTCTTCTTTGCTTGGAATCTGCTTGGTTTGATTTTTCTGCTGCACACAATGAAGAACTGTATTAAGTTCTTTTTCCTGAAACGTTTTTTGGACGCCCCTGCTGGAAAGTAAAGCTCTATGCTTCTGCATATCTTTGGGTACGATATGCAGATAGGGTACCAAACTGACGCCAAGGTTGCCACTGCTCAGTGCTATTTTGTCTGGCGTGGTAAATCCTGAGCCATGCCATATCCATGGCTGAGACCCATTCATGTAGACTTCGAAGATTTCGTCAAGGTCTGTGTCCGATGCTCCGCCCAGGAACTTGTAAATCAACGAAACCGAACGAGTAAATGAATACAGCTCCTGAGAAGACTGAAAAGAGTTGGCAATATTTTTCAGATGTCGTACGACCAATTCGATGTCTCGAAGGTCGTTTGGGTTTGGATTTTTACTCCAACCGAATGCACGCAGTATGTCCTCTCTCGTGTTTTGAAGGAAGACAAGTGGCAGTACTGAACCATAAAGTAAGGCTGACTCAATCATCCCGACACACTTTGGCGAGTACAGAGTTGTTGAATTTCCCTTCCATCCAGCAGAGATAGGATAGTCTGGCGGTGGTGAATCTTCACATGGAACCCAACAAAGATTCTCGAGGAACGTGTGCAATGGACCATCTGTGTGATTTCTTGCAACGCTTTCAAGTAGGACATGTGGGTTGTGGTTGATGTGCTCCAGTAGGGCCTTTCCCCTTTCATAATCTGCTTGGCCCGTGTCTTGGGTTTCGGACAGTTGGTCTGCAACGTCTAATATATCCACAACTGTGACGTCGGACTGATTCTTCAAACCGACACGTTTTAAGAACGTGAGCTGTGTCCTCTCTGCGTAAGCACCAGTGGGAAAGACATCCTGATCTCTAAATAGCACCTGAAGTGTGGTAGTAGGTTCGAACAGATCCTTAGGACGAGACAGCTGTCGGGGTGCTGTTGCTTTAGGTATAAACTCAACTTCCCTGACGAGATTATCGAATTGAGGCCTCTCGAGCACCCAAGTCATGATCTTAACTGATGCCTCGGAACTGTAGAATTTATCAGCCACTGCGGGTAGAACATTCTGGGCGAGCAGCTGCTCAATGGACAGGTTGCGGACGTCTAACGTTAACGCAAGGTTATCACTGATGTTTCTTAGAAGGATATACTTTGCACCATCCCTTAAAGAAGGGATTGGTAAGCCAAAGTAGTCGGACTGAACCGCTGCTTCACAGCTTTCAGGTGACACGTAATCTTCAGAGCTCGCAACAAACAGCGGTAACTGTCTTAGTATTTCCCTTTGGTGATATGTCGGCCCCCATTGAGGTTGGGCGAGCAAACCTCGTAACTCGTCCTTGGCGCCTGCGGACATACTCTCCACAGCGTCACAGATGTGTTGGATGCTGTGTTTTCGACTCATTGTCTCCAGAATGGTCATTACACCTTTGGGGGTTGGGGCCTTGACGAAGCCGTTGAGATCTGGGTGATGAGCAACACAGGAAGGGAGCTTATGACGAACAACAACTGCGCCAACTGTCTCAAGAAACCAACAGACATCTTCTGAAAGGCATGCTGGATCTGGTGTCGATTGCTGCATTTTAAATATCAGTCCGTTTTCTCTCAGCCTTGCCATGCGATCGCCTGGCATGGGTATAAGTGGCATGTTCCTAAAGTCAGTGAGAGGCTGCTGTATGTGATTGCTCGCCAGCCATTCCCAGATAATTGCCAACCACTCAGATGGCGGATGTTGGTTGAAACCCGGGGACCATGGCAGAATGTCATTTCCCGAGAAGTTGCTCCACTGGTCTGGCAACATTTCCAGCACCAGTGGTGCAACATCTGTGATGTCTAGTGTCTTCAGCTGAGTACATGACTGCGATGGGGAATTCTTCAAGACGGCGGGCATGTCATGGGCGGCAAACCTTCCTTCTCCATTAGGAATAAGTGCACTGGGGTTGTACTCGGTTGCGATGAACACTGTTGACGAATTCCGACTAAACGACGCAAATTTGCCACTGGCTAAAGGGAGTAGGTACAGGCCTCCCAGGTCAGTCGTGCAGTCGCTTGTGACATACTCTAGAAGCTGGAGCTTCTCATCGCGTGTGAGGAACTGCAAAAGGTCGCCCCGAACGCAGTTTCTTAGAATAGCTGGTGTGACTGGCCGGTAGAGAACATCTGCCCAATCCAGAGATTCCAGGACATGATCTGGCAGTCGTGCCACTGGCCATTCCTTCTGCATCAATACCTTTGAAATTAAATCATCGTTTCTCGCGTTGATGTACACGTCAGTTGACTTCACCCAAGATCCTTGGTCAGTGAGGAAAATGGCTTGATCCCTCAGCGATCTGATGAATTTTCTGACACCCTCTAACCATTCCGTCTTAACATCCTTCTTGCAAGGCCACCCTTTGTACACATCTCTGGGGGGCATGCACTCTGGCTGTTCTTGACTCTTTCTGATCGCAGCTAAGAGTAACTGAGCGTATACATCAGGGAGCATTTCTGTTATGAGTAGCTTGTTCCATTGTGCTTTTTTGTCATGTTGAGACTCTTGATCTGGCCATTTGATGCTGCGACGGTTGTCACTGAGCCCAAAGTACCCGTGCACACTGACAGGTAGGCCAGACGTCTCACTGTCTGGTAACGGCAGGAAGCAGAATACACGACCGTGCCGCTCCTCGGTGCTTTTCTTGCTGGTTGACTGCATCCGGAAAGACATCCCCATCCAAGGCAGAAACCTCAACTCCTCGTCGTCGATTAGAGCTTTGAGAACACCTGGTATGTTGTTATTCTTCAAGGCGTTTAAAAGCATGAAGCTGCTGACATTCTGAGTTGCTTGTGGTCCAAGCTGACTCTCTATGTGAAGACAAGTAAGAATGTGAAAATCTTGTCGTTCTGGAACCTTAGTCAAGAAAGTCTGCATGTTCAAATGCACTTGTTGACGGTCTTCCGGGCGGATATGAACCTTAAACACAAGTCTCGGATGCTCCTGACTTTGACACTTTTCATAGGCAGCAATAGACTCAACATTCTTCAAGAAGAGCAGAGACAGCTCGGAATCTATCTGGAAGGAGTCAAAAAGTTCTTGGACTCGATGTTCATCTTGGAACACTGACGAACTCAGTTTCGATGGCTTTTTGCGTAACGGAAAGCGAAAGACGGTACCAGCAAATGTACCATTTTCAAACGTAGCTTCGTTGCATGAAAACAATTCTGAGAGGAATGGAGAGAACTGATCAGGAAAATCTCTCAACAATTCAGCAGACAATGTCCACTTCTTACCACGTTCTCCCACGTACCTTGTGTTGGTGTAAGGATCAAAGGTGAAGTGCTCTTCCAGTGGATCAAGGTATCCAATTTGGCTGCCACTGAGGATGCAAGGCATATCTGGAAGGAAAATTCCAAAGAATCGGTGTCAGGGGCCAAAGTCACTTCACTGCCGACTTTGATAACACACACATAAGGATAAAGAACTAACTAGAAGTTTAGGTAAATGTAGTCTTAAATGGCTTCCAAACATGTTGAATGGCATAATCATAATTTTATTATTCAATTTTTTACTGTTGAAGTATCATGAATGTTTCCCTTGCCAAAAAATTACTAATATGCCCAAGCCGATGTTACAGATCTCAAAGTTTCTTGTCTTTTCTTGGTGTCATTAAATTTCTATTATCATAGAGGTCAGTGCAGTTTTCATGCATTTCACACATCCCACCTGTGAGATGGAAAACAGAGATGAAACCAAGCCCGAACCGTCCAATCTTCGTTGGGTCCTTACGCTTGCCGCTCTGATCAGGATGTTGGATGTTATCCCAGTCTTCCGGGGTGAAGGAAGCATCGTTGTAGGCGAACAGTGCAGGGCCCTGGAAGTCTGCCAGAGCGTTTGACCAAAGTCTCTGACGGGGATGCTCGGACTTGTCGTAGAGGAACACCACATTCCGCGCCTTTGCATCGTCGGCATTCTGTACAAGCTCCTGCAAGCAATGATGTTTAGACCAACCTACTCTTTTTCCTCTCATAGACATGTTTTATTTCCGGAAAGATAGTCTTTTAACTACCCTCCACCCTAAAAAACTGTCTTCGACATGAAAAATTTGTTCCATATTCCATGAGTAAGTATAATGTGTTTTCGTACTTGGAAAACATTTATTAACAACATCCGAAAGATTTTTGGAAAACATTTATTAACAACATCCGAAAGATTTTGATAGAAAAAATTAAATCAGTGTTATAGGAATGAGGCTGCTCGCTTTCATTTAATCAAGTTTGATTTTAAGTCTGATGTCATAACTTCAAAATCCTCGAATTCTTGAAAAGCCCCAAAAATTACCTTTAATATTTGTCCACCTTCCGGATACTTGTCAAGAACCCTCTTAAGGTAGATGTATAGGGGTGGTAGCTTCTGTCCAAAAGATCCGTCTGCATAAGGTTTTAAAAAAGGTGACAAAGATAACCTCCCAATTGCCAACTTGTCCATTGCCAGCTGTGTAGATTATTATCAACATAGAGCGAGTAGGTTTTTATCTCTTTTCCCCAATCCCTTGATATTTTCATAAAAGCAATACACTATTTTTAGTCTTCAGTCTTTTCTATTTCCTAAAACAGTTTAGAGACACCGTCTCCTACATGATTAAATCTACCGACAAATTCAGAAGGTCTTCGACTCGTTTTGGAATCATTACTTTTTCATCCTAGTCGACTGAACACATACAATTACAAACATAAAACAAACTTATCAATCATTCATAAATACCCCAGTTTCCCTATTCAACAGCGCACAACGTGTCCGTGTGTTAACATTTGATAATCCCCACTGAGGTCGATAATTCCCCCTGCGTAAAAAAATGCTCTGGCATCTGGATATACTTTAATCCATTCCTTGCTCAAAATCAGCGCACGACGTGGCACGCAGAACACGCCACGCGAGCGCCAAGTCCATGTGTGGAGATTCTTCTGGACAGCTTGCAGAAGGATATACCATAAAATGGACGGGGGTGTTCGGGGAAATGAAAACGAAACTGTACAACAAAAATTTACGAATGGGAATAAATATTTTCGACCACTGTTCGACTGACGCAACTAATGCCCTCGCGTCCATTCTCTTAAGCCAGTTCATAAAAGCACAGTTTCAGACTGGTAACATGCATATTTATGCCCTTATGCAAAAACAGGGTGAGAAATAAGAGCCATACCCACAGAATTTGCCCGCGAAGTAACAGCTTGAAATAATCGGTAAACAGGGAAATCTAAGCTTAAGGTTTGAGCAACGAAAACATCTTGCTCTATGGGCAGGATTGGAATTATTATTATTATTTTAGCGTGTATTTCTTATGAAAGAGGTGATCGACGACGGTGTTTTTAACATGTTTACATCCCCACTGCATTCACGGGTGTCTCTACGAATTTGAAAAGTAGCCGTCAACCCAAATTTGCCTTTGAAAAAAGAGAAACAAAGTCCAATGTTTGTTCTTTTTCTAGCACAAGAGGCTTTACAAGTGGAGATGCTATTCAAACTGAACCGACACAGACCCGACGTAACGATAACATAATGGCAATCTTTATCTGACGATTGCATTTTTGTCGAAATTAATTAGGAAGATCTTTAATTAACATTAGAAGGGTGTCAATCACGGTCAAATACTTCCAGCAACGCCTTCGACGACGGCCTTAAGGATCCATAAAATATCAAGTGTGGCCGTAAATTGCTGGTTGGATTTCTGGTGGGTGAAGCTATCCTTTATTTTACGACCAAACAATAATCGTGACAACGTAGTTCTACCTATAACTAATAACCCATATCTAGTGCAACAATCTTCGTCGACTTTGCTTTTCTCATATTGCCGATAAAGAAGGGGTACTTGTAACGTCATTGCAATGACACATGGCCATATGCCAAACAAAGTCCACAATGTTTAGCCGGAACTACTTGAAGGTGCGCGATATTGCATGCTAGTGGGATTTTATCTAAGCACGCAACTTTAGGAGTAACAAAGGACAAGGACCCAGACTACTGCTAGTGTCAGTGTTGACTAATATAACATGTTGTGCGAACCGTGCACGACTTTTTCAACAGAAAAGAACAAAATATTTCCATCCGTCGCGATTAACAGACGAACAATTTGTCATGGGGATTCATGTCCTTAATAACTGAAATCTGAAAACTACACTGCAATGTAGTAACAACAATTACTATGGGAATATAGAACTTACTACTGGGGTTCGTTGCTAAGGTGGAAGTTAATCAATCATCTTTTAAAACTTATGTTACGAAGCCCACATTTCAGTTTTCCTCGGATGACAATGTACACATTTGGAGCCAAGAAAATCAATAGCAAAGCCGTCACGGGATCCGTGGCAACCAGTTTGGAGTGCAAGTGGTGTGCAAACACAGTAAAATGGATGAAAAATGTACTCATTATGACTAAAACGCGGGACAGAGGGACGTAAGGTAAAATATAATCAGTTTAATTGATCGAGATAATTGAGCTTCTTTTAATCAACTGCATTAATTCTAAGGACCAACTTTCATGGCAAGTTGAAAACAGAATTTAAGGGTATACCGCACATGTCAAACAAATACAAAACAAAACAACAGAACTATAATGCTTTTTGTTGTAATAAAAACGAAAGAATGCAAAAGAAACATGCAAAGGCTTGATGTAATTATGAATGGAGGTGGACAAACTTTTCTGAAGGATTCATCATCTAGAAGTATCAGAAGTGCAAAGCGGATTGGGATGGAATACTGTTTAAGCAGGAAGAGATATCCATATAAGTACTATGGTTTTGAACGTTTTAACCGGCAAAGTACAAAAATATCTAAGTGATGTTTTTACCCAAGTCACCAAATCAGAAATACCAAAGTTTATATTCCTAGAACAGACAGTGGAAGAAGAATTTCAAAGTTTCGCGGTGCTCAATCATGAAAAAATGTACTCCAACATATGAAATTTTCTGGTTCCAGTCTAAATAGTTGTCCGAATTTCTGAAGGAATTTAAACAGATGAACTGTGCTTATGTGTGTGCTTAATGTGTGATTTCGAGAGAGTTTGTTGATCCTTTACGGTTTCTGTGGTATTTTTAATTTAATCTTAAGATTTAATGTGACAAAAAGTGCAGTCAATCGAATGAATCAAGATGTTATGTTTCTTTTCTGCCGGTTTGTACCATGAAAAATACCTCAGTCTTTTAGAATTTGGGGTTTATACCGCGCACCATCCATTTCTATGTACAGACAAAGTGTCATCCTCATCATATTTTATTGATGGTAGAAAAATTATACGCCAAACCTTTGCGCCAGTTATGCCTTTTGCTTACAACATGCTGCTTTCCTAATTTTTCTAATTTCTTAATAGTATGTATTTTGGCCGTTAAGGTTTTTTTATGGATGTTGTAGTCATTTGAAATGCATGCTTCCTGTTTCATCGGATGAAACAAGTGTTTTTTCACATTGTTTCTGAGCGTGGACCAATCATCTTTTTTGTGAGCTTTTGTGTTTAGTTGCTTGGGTTTCTAAGCAAGTTGGTACGCGTAAGAACGAGCTATAAAAAAGTTTTCCAAGACTGTTAATAATTCCAATGTAAATAATCGAAGCCACAAACTCAGAATAATCACAACCTATTTATCATTTCGGCACCATTTGAGGTGTTGTGCGTCGGAATGCGCATGCAGCTTGTAAAAAATACTGTATGTTAATTAAATCATGAACGTTTTGAGCTCTTACATCGTGGAAGCTACACATTATACACAAATAAATACATTGATTGGAAATACCCATTGCTGAGAGTTTGTCGAACAGAATAATGTAACCATTCAACACATGCAAGAGGTCATAGCTAAGCAGGTTTCCAAAAGAATCAGACTGCGGAGTGGTCATGTCGGTCAAGGATAGTACGAGTACAAAAAACCAGACCTGCAGTCGTCGTGAAGTTATGCACTGCAATAGGCCTACACAATGTATCCCAGACGAGTTATCAATAACTGTTTCAGTGGAAACAGTTATTAGATTTTACTGTTTCCAAACTCATGGAAGGGGCAACACCACAGGCAAGAAACGTTTGCCCAAGTTCTGCCACTTCTAGCCCAAATTACTGAGGTAATGCCACATACATGTAGACGGATGCTCCTCACAGTACGAAGCTTAACTATTTTATAGCTGCCGTTATTTGTGTGTGTATTCTTTGGTTTCATGTGCTTGAGTGAATGCACGGCCAATTCAAAAGTAAGCTACAAAATCCATTTGGGTAACTGTCATTGCGTTTTGCAACTGGGGTCCCCCCATGCATGAGTGTTGATTTCCTTTCCATATAGTAAAAGTAACAAAACTTAGTCCCCTTAAAAACTTCAACTAAATGCCACCCACAACCCTAAATCGTGTCCAGTAACGACCTTGCATGAGTATATATCAAGTAGTCCCTTGGGCCTTGAAAACAGAATTTAAGGGTGTCCCTCACGGTTGAAACGAAAACCAAAAACCAATCCAAAACAAGAGTACATACAATGCGTGCCACTTTCATCGATGAAACAAGTGTGTTTCAGAGTATGGACTGACCATTGGAGTTTCTGTACCGGAAAAGACTGATATAATTCATTGCGATGCAGGGCTACGATCGCATCAGTGCCAAATGCAGATTGCTGGGCGCAAGTGTGAAGAAGAAAGCCTGGGTGTGACCGCTGTCTTCTGGCTTGCATCACTGTGAGCAGCGGGTTCGCAAAATTGCTTGAGTCTCAACACCTCAACTTACCATGCCTACGGTCTCCAGTGTTGTAACGCGAGCCGCCCTCAGCCATAGCAGGTGCCCTTCCGAGATGCGGGGGAACTAGAACGGAGACTTGCTGCACCGATACACAAACATCCGTCGACAAATCATCAGAATTCACAGTTTCTGAAAACGGTGGTTACAAGTGCATCCCATTCGCGCTCTTCAGCATTTGCACAGCAGTATTCGCCATACAGTCGCACCATCAAAGACCCCGAGTGAATGAGTGTTGCACACTTGCCAACGTGGCTTTTATACAGGCGCGGTTGATTCGGGAAATCCACGTGCAACTCACTCCGAAATCCTGCCGCGCGTCATGTGGTGGGACTCAATTTATTTTTTAACTAAATCGGCGTCATTCCGGATTTTTGCATATCAGGTCCAGACGCAAATTAGTGCCCGAATATACGACTTTTGGCTTTTTGATTGAAATTATTACTCCGCGACTATTTCTCACGTGGGGAATACCCGGACTGTGAAATAAATACTAGACTGATTCTCAGTCCCTACATTAATTGTTCGGCAGAACGAATTTGACCCGTCAAAACTAGCTCATGAGACTGTTGCCGTCTTGAAATTCGTGCAAACGATCAGTTTACAATGGCTTCAGACAGTCCCCGGTGACTTGTATGCCATTTCAAGCTGTATGCGAGTGATTCGGACATAAACGACCAGGCTCGCGGGGGCTGGTCATAACAACGGCACGCTCATCAATGCATCGCCTTACAACAGCATAGCAACGGCTGTCTGATTTTCCGCAAAAGCTTATTGACGGAGGCGTCGTCTTTGTAGATGTTTTTTGTAATTCTAGCAAAATATCCTATATAAAGCATCAAGCATTTATGTTCAGTGGCATGGACTATCCCTGTCACAGAAAATGTGCTACAAAAATCTGCTTTAAAATTTACAAAAAGTATACATGCATAAGCCTATTTTTTCGCTCAAAAAAAGGAGTGTTGCCACTTTGGTTGTTAAAACCACATTTGTCAAAATAACAAGAATTGTCTGAATCGATTGCATGCACACATGTATTTGGAATCCGATGGATCATGACAAATTCTACACTTATGCCCCCACATTTTCATGCCAAATCTTATGACTACGGACATTTTGTAACCGAATATCCGGTACACGTGTAATTTTCATGTCCAAAGAAAATTTCATTCTTACAGTCCATATATTTATTGTTTCGCAGCTAACTTTCTGAATTCCCTTTTGTAATGTTGTTTGCTCACACGCGATAATTCCAATTGCACTTGTGTTCTTTTAGCAATCTTGTCTGTTACTAAATACCAAATACACCCCAAATAGGTCTTCTCAGAATTTTTATTCAAGTGTGGTTATAACAACCGGTTGAAGCCGCATCAAAGTGCCAAGGTAGTGGGATGTAGTGTACTCCAAGCAAGGAACGTTGCGGGCTTTGCTGTACCCCCCCCCCTCCCGATAGACTTCTCTCAAGTCGACAGACAAACAACACTTTGGGTTTTCACCCAAAAGCAGAACATGCAAACTACGGTTGAAGCATGACCCTCACTGCTGTCATCAGTAGAGGGGTTGGCATTTTGAAAAAGGCTGCGTGCGCTGATTCTGAAAATGCGACAATAGGAAACGCCTTCATTCGCCAATGATTATCCGGCCTGTCAAAGTATGGCCATGAAAGCTGTATAGGCCTATCAGATCGATAGAAAGATGCTTTTCAGATGACACCAAGACGGGCTCATTTGGACAATTTTCAGATTTTTAGTAGGGATATCAGATCGAGAGCGATCGAGCCACAAAATCATTTTATCATAGGAACAGTGTTCACCGTTTTCCCTTTTTTGGGAGTGGCACATTTTCCTTTTTCAAAAGAAAGGTGGCATTTTTCATGTTAATGAGCTCGGCAGACGGAAATTATTGCTTGAATTAGTGGTCTGCACCTTTTTATTGAGTGAACGCGTCTTGAATCCCAGCAGGGTGCGCTGTCCCAATTCAAATAAAATTCTCCTCTCTTTCGAAAAGAGGAGTCTGTGTGGGCCAAGAAATTGTGGGAATTGTGTAAGTAAGGCCGAGGAATCATCTCTGTGGAATGAATGGCTCCAATCTCGGGTCAAAGCAGACAACAAATGTTATTGAAAAATTGTCAGAAATGAGAACCTGTAAAGTTGGGGAACGGTCAATTGGAAAAATGGCTGCTGAGAAGACTTGGGAAAGTTTTAGGGGTGAAAAAAAAATTGATTGGTTAACCTGCTAAAATTTGAAAATCAACTTAAACCCGAAGGACCAAAACACGCTGTGTTTAGTTTGAGAGGCCTAAGGCTCCGGACCTCAGTTGCCCGCAACGGGATTCGGAACTTCGTTGTTTTTACACAGTTTTCAATGGAGCTTGAATCAGTGCAGTGCAAGGGCCCTGCAGTTTGCCGGAATCGTTTGGTCTGGGAACTAGACTGTTTTGCGTATGGTGCACACAACTAGCCTGTCAGTGATCATTTAAGAAACAATATAGTTTCACCTAAAGTTATGTCCCAATCATATTTATTAGAGAGTTGCTATTCTTGTTTGAGACATTAAAAATACCATAAAAACCTAAATGCTGTATAATTCGTAGCAAGATGAAATATTCAAGTTTTAATCATCATTTGTCACTGGTACGAAAACACTGCTGTGAACAATTTATATGCTAGCAACACCCCGCTAGCAGCAGCGTTGCTAGCCACGCTATAGCGCGGCAAGGCATAGCGAACCCGAACCGCGGAAGTCACGGCCGGCTGCTTCAAACTTTTCAATCCCATGCACTAAACCGGCTAAACCTGCGCCATTATGCAGACCTTGCCGTAAGCCTGTAGACTGCTTGTACGGTTAAGCCACCTTGAATGTAGTTTTGCATGAAAACCAGGACCTAATTAAATTGTTATAATAAGAGACAGAATGCCGCCTAAAAAACCCACAGTGAAGCCTGCTGGAGGAAAACCAGCTGCCTCCAAAACAACGACCAAGTCGACTCCAGTCAAAAAAGTCACACCGGTGAAAGGTACATAATATAATGTAGGCCTACGCATAGTTCTCTCTCCCTGTCCCCGGCACTGGCATTACTAGGTAGGGACTTTCATGTTGTCAAGTTAAAGGCTAGAATTGAGGGACACCCGGGAAGCTTTATGGAGGAAAGCATGTATGATGTAGGGCCTACAAACTGAAGTTCAGGGTAAGAAGTTTAAATCAGTGACCCAAAGTTACTGTGAAGCCAAATTGGGCCTAGGCTAAAGTCGGAGGCCATTTGGTCATGTACATCATGTATTTTACTGGCACCCAGTTTCATGACATTTCTGAAACACTGTGGATATGTGGCCGCCACTGGCTAAATTCTATTAAATGGTATTGAGTCTGCTACAGGTACATGTAGGTAGGCCCCTAGGCCTTGTGCCCTTTTTGATGCATATACACAAGGAAGCCTGTAAGTATGACCGATTCAATACAAAATTTGAAAAAGAGGAGTAGGCCTACTAGTGTATTACTATTAACACTACACTCAGTCAAGGTAATTAAGTATAAAGGTTTCATGTAGGGTTGCTAGTCAAGTTGAAAGCGTGTATATCTTGAGAGCTCAACAAGTAAACTGCTCCCAGCTACTGTACATGTACATGTAAGTTCGATTCCCAAGTGTGGTTTTTGTTTTTGGCCTTCCTCTTCATCTTCTTTTGTTATTTTTAATTGACTCCAACTGTTAAATTCAGAGTATTGCAATATCTTTATCTGGGTTGTGGATCTCGAGGATTTTTTTCTTTTTGAAATGGTCTGATTCTTGTCACATCACTACAAAGTTACAGCTCTATTTTAGCTCAGAACCAGACCGATACTTGTCACGGTTACAATTTTTAATTCCCCTATAACAGTTGTTGCTCATGTCTGGCTAAATATGTTGTAGTTCATTTTAGCTGGCGAGAGCTAAATTATCGGCTCCCTCTTTCAGCAAAAGCATACATGAATTCTTCCCTGCTGGGTGCAGATATCATTTCATCTGTTCCTGGGCTTGCAATAACATCATAGGGGTGGTGGAATATCCCCATAAGTCAGCCCTAAGTTTGCTGACAACAGAAATGCTCTTAATCATCCCCCATATACTGTCCAAGGCCTACCTATTCATTCTTACTTGACCTATGGCCCATTGTAGTGCTACATGTATAATCAGAGACCCAGATTTCAAACGCGCTGCACACATTTTTGGATTTTTTTTACCCGCATTCAAGCGGCTTAAGATTCTCTTTTTTGTTGATTAAAATTCATTCCTAAAGGCTTTCCACAATTGTTCATTTTCTTCCTGTGATTTGTACTGGTAGCTCTTGATGATCTCTTAAGTGTGAAATTGTATCAAGCCTGAATTCCATTTTGATGAATATGTCATTATGAATTCATATCTATCATAAAAATAATTGATAATGTGCTGTTTCCATAAAAAAATGATTGACGGCATGGTACAAGCTACCGTAAAAAATTATTGAAATGATTTTATGAATGAATGTCACCGCGCTAGTACCCAAACCGCAGTATGGGGATATGTCTGCCCTGCCAACAGGGAGAATCTAACCCTTCTGGCATCGGTGATGCCTTGATCTTTCCGGGGACAGACATCTCTAACCGTACCCACGTTAAAACAAAAGTAATTACATGTATGCCAGACACGGTGAAACTAAAATAACGAATCACAGCTAAACCTATGTTAAAATAAAAAATAATAACCCTACGAAATAAAATTAGTAAAATCAGAAATCGTGCTGTGCAATATATCATTGGAGAAATGCAACATTAAAAAGTTATGTTTTCACTTTACATGTGACGGCAAGGCTTTGCTCACACTGTATACATGTACATGTATGCCATGGCAAGGCATTCCATAATTGAGGAGTAGCCATTGCAAATGCCCTGTCACCAAGTGTGGGTAGCATTTTACCGTTAAGCAACAAAGGACCGTTGCTTGCTGACCTGAGATGATATCTAGACTCCTTCTTAATGGTGACAAGATTCATTAAGTATCATAGGAGCAAGACCATGGATGGCTTTGTATGTTACCAGGATGATTTTGAAGTTAATCCTGTACAAAGCAGGTAACCAATGCAGATGATACAGTGTTGGTGTTATGTGTTGAAATTTGGTGTATCCGTAAGAAGTCAAGCTGCAGCATTCTGGACTTGCTGTAATCTCAGTATTGCAGGGAACCAGATGAAAATGTGCCACAATAGCAATTCTAAGTGAACCGGTGAAATATCCATTGCCTTGCCCCCTACACCTCTTAATTGAAAACCCCAAATATCGTGAAACTTAAGGGAGAATTCATTATCAGACCATCCCAGATTCACAAAGGTTTCACGGGTGATATAGGTTCAGTCCATCATGTGTTATTAAGCATTACATAATTACAAAATTACTCAAAATCTAAGCAAGGGTGCTATTCAGCTTTGTGAATACTGTATTTGCCAAGAAAAACAGTATTCTAAGATTTCGATTTCGGATCAAAATTTGCTGAGTCATGTTTGAATTGCGCCAGAATTTAGCATCTGTGACACATTCTACCATTGAGTTGATGCAGCAAAGCAACATCATGCGCTGAATTGACAAATAATAGGAACACTGTACGTGTCTGTGTCATGCCAATGCTTTGCATGCGCTTATGGTAATTTTCAAAAATTGTTCTTCCCACATAATGTTGGAAATAAGCTTGTCTTATTGTTTTCTTCTAGAGGCACGTTTCCAAAAAAATAATCTCATTCGAAGTTTAATCCCAAAGCCATGTTTATAAAACCAAACATGCATGTCGGTAATAATTTCATTACATGCTGTTTGAAGATCTGCAAATGATGGAATTTACCTTTATATGCCACAGAGTGTGAAAAGAGGCTCCTGGTCATTAATTAGCAAGGATGGAGTGTTCTTCAGTACCTTGGGGAAAGCAATCTCAAAAGTAGGGTACAATCTTTTTGATGATCACGCTGCCCCAAAATTGTGATGGTCCAATATGGGTTTGGTATGCACAATGTGAAATATCGGATGGGCCCGTGTGAAGGGATATGTTGAAATGTATGCAGTTATTTCAAAATGTTTGGATTCAGATCTTAATTCTGCTTACTGCCGTAGCTGGAGCCAAGACGCCAAGCCGGCCCGCAGGCAAAACAGCGCCCCCACCAAAAACTGGCACCCAGAAAAACGCTGCCCCGGCCAAGCCCAAACCCCCCTCCAAGGAGACGCTGGCCGCTGTGGTCATCCAGAAATGGGTTCGCCGGTTCCTAGGCAGGTGTCGGCTTCTCAAGCTGAGACACGAGAAGGAGGAATACGAAGCGCTGATGGAAAAACTGGAGAAAGAGGTTTGATAGGTCCATATTCATTCCAGGGGCCATGTAGCAGAATAATTTCACTACCCCCTTTGTGTTTCAATTAACCTTACTGCCAAGTTCTTCTTTGCCCTTTCAATACGCATTCTGGAACCGTCTTTTTTAAATGCTATTTATACAAATATGCATATTCACAAGCGCATATTAACGTCATCCCAAACACTTGGCCTCATTGTTGCATTTGTGCAAAAGAATTGCTGGAATTTGTCAGTATCTTGCTGTTGTAAATTCCAGTTTCTTCTGAAATTTGTTGCTGCGTAACCGGTGTATGGCAATATGCCGATGGGCAGTTTTTTCTCAGAAATGTTATTGAAGAGCAAATTTCTCAAAATTTGGACGACAAAACATGTTAACGTAAAAGTACGCTTTGCAAAACACGTAAACTTCAAAAGAATTACAGTTTTCTTACACTGAACAGCAGTATGACGATGTACACAAAATGGGTCTAAGAAAAATGTCATTGCATAGATCCTTTACATATTAGATTGCTATCTCACTGTACAAAGCAAAGCCCGCTGGAAATATCCATGTTTATGTGGAAACCTCAGAAGTCAAAGTTTGGCCACCGGTAAATGTACAGCAACCTTTGTTCTGCCTCCGGCCTGGGATGTTTATTTATTTTATTGTTTCTGTTCGTCCAATCGGCTCTTAGTTGAAGTGCACCCTCAATGGCAAAAGAAAGAGGGGCTGTTACGAAGTTTTCCAACTGGGTTCTTGCATGTGTTCATCATGCACGCAAAGACCATACATTGCATGAGATATTTGTTGCACATAATCAGCGTGTCACATGCTCATAAACCTTGTATGCCTATGCGATGAGTTCGTACCAAATAACTGTCAATTTAAATGCGCCCTGTCCGTGCGGATAGTAAAACATTTGGGTGTCCTGTTGGCCAAATTGGCATCATCATTTCCAACTGGCTATATCTCTACAGGCCTTCGTTGCCATGGTGAAGAGGGAGCAAGAGCGAGCAGAAGAGGAGCATCGCAAGGAGATGGAAGAGAGACGGAGGCGGAAGATGCACCAGCAACGGATCAAGCGCATCCTAGAGGCAGCCTTTGACGGGGACGATGACGAGATTCTCATTGTTCTTAAAGAGGCAAGCGGGTTATGGTTGAATGAAACGAACATTCAGTGACCAGCAAAACTAAACCAAACCAAAATATGTGTTTCCACGCACCACAAGTTGGATTAAGGAAAAGTTTTCAGGGTCAATCTCTTTGGCGTACATTCAGCTGCCTTTACGTTTACTCACGATACCTTGAAATAATCTTAGAAGGCAAGTTTTTAACCAGAGAATTAAATTTTTCTCTATTTTATTCTACAGATTGTCACCTTGTCATGTTCAGTGTCAAAAATATCTAGTTATTCAATATGGATCAGGTTTCCGAATATTAAATTATTTATTCAACAGAGCCCTATCCTCTGCTTATTGTTACAAAAATCTGCCGAGCACTTTCTCCTGATTTAGTCCAATGAAGGTGGTCCACACTTGTTTAATTTGTGTCAGATTCTCCATGTTTTGAAATTCACATCAAAGGTTGAGAAGCAAGACATGGAACTGGGCATAGGCATGGACCCCATGGGTCAGGCCCTGCGGGCAAAACACCAGCTGCAGATGGTTGACTGTGAGGACGCCAACAACAACACGCCCCTGTCTGAGGCGGCGAGCGGGGGCCATGCCGACACCATCAAGCTACTGATAGACAGAGGGGCGGACGTCAATGCACGGGGACAGTTTGAGCGCACCCCGTTATACAGGTAAGGCTGAATAAGCACAGTGCTAGTGTAACGATAATGCACTGTGAAAAGGTTCAATGTTCAAATGGGTTGGAAAACTTTATATGTGGGTTCATGTTTAATAGTTATAATTATGTCTTTGAGTGTCCATTGACTTGGCAACTCAAATTCATGTTGAGTTGCTCGGATGTCTCGGAGCATTACCCTTATATAGGAAAGTTGGCCGTAGGTATTGCATGCAATTTTATGTCCTATGGCATACACATGGCAGATGTTGGAAAAAAGTACCTAGCAACAGTTTTAAAGTGCACAATTGAATCCTTAGGCATAATGTGGATGTGTGAAACTTGATCGTTAAGTATGTCTATCAACAGCCAGGGTTGAACAAGTGTTAGTCAGGCTGTCTTTATTTTATGTCTTCGCAGAGCTGCATTTGCAGGTCATCTGACTGCAGCCCAGGTCCTTCTGCAGCACGGTGCCGATCCGCGCCTCTATGCCAGCGACGGTGCTACCCCAGAGCAGGTGTCTGCCAACGAACCCCTGACTGTGCTCCTGCAGGAGTGGGACGTGGGGCTGACCGATGCCATGCTCAGCAAGATGGAAGCGCAGCGGGAGCAGCGCAAACAGGAGGAGCGGCAGCGGAGGGAAGCCGAGATGGCCAAGTAAGGGGCTGGGGTTTAGCGTAGCACATGCATCATGCGGATGCGGTCGCTTGAGGATTGACCTCCATGGGCACACGTGATATTTCCAGCCATAGCCATGAAAAATTGGACGGCAGCCAAAGGTCATGTCAAAATTGGTCGGCTACAGCTTGGGAGTAATGCACATGTCAATAGGATTGAGCTGTAGCCACTAGGCAGTTGACCTCCTTAGGTGCACATGCTGTTTGCAGCCATATAGCCACAACTTGCAAACCCATGATGCAACCCAGGGGGACGAGGCATGGGAGATCATGGCCCTACTCGAGGCCTGAGCTCTCCTCCTGTGTCCCCCACTCAGAAATTAGAAATGGAAAAGTATGGTGCAGTCCACCTTGCTCAGTGTTTGAACTCTGAACAAACCTCTGAGTGCTCCCTGCATAAAGTACCTCAGTTACAGAGGTTCATTATGACATCCATCTTTCTGGTAACTGCATTTGTCGCGGAGGGATAGCACAAAAGGTCTACCCGTGCGTATCCCTGTGGAATAAAAGCTCTTACCAGAAAAATGGCTGCCATGCAGAACCTCTGTACCACTGCTTCAAACACAATTTAAGATACTAACTTTCAAAGTGAGAGTTTGGATTCAAACTCAAACAGGTGACTCGATCGGTGGGAAAGGGAATACAAACCATGTCGTAAATTTCATAAGTATCTTTTTACCGTTGTGCGCGGTGTGCCGAATACACAAAGGATCCTGTTTCCACCCAAATCCTCACTAATTAGCTATCTTTGTTCACCTTCGTAAGAGCCAGCATCAACCTACCTGGATCCATGTCACTGCTGAGCGTGTTTTAAGTGTTGGAAATTTCATTACGGTCATTCTCCACTGTGAACATTTCTCACGGAAGCATGGCATATTCCTATGAGTACAGAGAATTGGACCTATTTCTCACTGGAAGGTGCCAGGGTGGTGCAGAAAGAAATTTGCATGAAAGGGGATCTCCAGGTGGCATGACCTAACCCATAACCACTGTGGTCATCCTGGGTTCAATTTCCGGCCCAGGCCATACGTTAACAGAATGGGAGTTGAGACACATGGTGGCGGCAGACACAATGGCCCTTTTTGGTTGATGTTGGCATGCGCGTGCAGTTCTGGGCATCAGTGTTAGTTCTGAGCATGTGCGCAACTGCAGAAAAGGACCGGTTTGTCTGCCGTCACCATGAGTCTCAAAGTATCCCATTGTTCGTCAGTTCTCTCCTGTGCCTCAAGGGTTTGTAGTCTCTGATTTTACCCCCTTCGGGAAACTCGGCACTTTAGACCTCAAGCTGTTACCCATGGTTAAGGAATGGGTTGTCTGGTCTCTGCCGATGTTTAATTACCAGCTTTGTACTCGCCAACAGCGTATTTGTAGCTGTGTCCATTTTAATTCAGCTATCTGGCTGTGGGGAAGGATTATTAACCCCAGGGTCAGTAAATAAGTATACTGTCTCAAGATGTACTCTTGCATGGGGAGATATTAATTTTGAGGTTCCCCTTACACCAACGTACAATGAAAAATGAAAAAAAAAATTAGTTTTTGGACAAGTACTGGAGGTCACGGATTTGAGTCTCACCCGAGTAAGCCTGTGAATTTTTTCATTATCTCTCGGACAAGCACTGAGTATGCAGTGTTCTTGAATATATTGGTGTCGGTGTCAGGGCAAATCCTCGAATTAAAGTTATCATAATATATTACTTATTTCTGGTAATGACACCAAGGATTCCTCAAAATTGCCCTAGGCACTGTAGCTTGCATGCCTGAAGAAACCTGTAGAGAGGAGACAATGAGAAGCAGTTACCATTTTAGAGGTGGGAGGAAAACCTCAGAGGAATATTCTGGGTAAAAACCCATGGAATCAGGTAGGGACTGAAAACCCAAAACACATGTGGACCGAACCCGGACGGCAGAGGTGGAAGGTGAGGGAAGAACCACTACCCAACCCGACTCCTGGGTATATTGTCAATTAAATTTCCTTGTATGTTTGGTTTATGAACGGTGTTGTCTAATACTGAACCTTGTCCCCTGTCGAAATTCTTTCACGTACACACTATTTCATCACGTTAAACATTTTATGTTTCTGTTCTAATATTGATTGAAAAAACATTTGTAGATTAAGACAATCCATTGTGATGTGTATAAAATTCCTTTCCTGAATTCAATTTGGATGTGTCGTTCAGGTTGGAGAACCAACTGGCTGACGCTCAGAAGGACCATGACACAAGACAGCTGCAACTCAACAAGGCCTACTGCGAGCTGAACAAGCGCATCGAGGAGCACGACAAGTGCACTGCCAAGAGCATGAAGACGGATATCACTCTTCAGGTATCAAGCCATTTGCAGATTTGGGGATTTTGCTGGCTGAGACTGGAAACCCCAAACCACAGCTGACATGTACATGGTGAAACTGTTTGTTTGACAAACACATTTGTTGATTATCAGTTGTGTGTCTTGTTTACATCAGTTTCACTGGACAACATTTCTGCTGGGATGGGGGGGCACATGAGTCCCCGCCCCTTTGTAGCCCCCCAGGCGTAATAACTAAAAGCTGTATCAGGAAGGTAATTTTTTCACATTTTTGTCAAAATATCTCACTTCCAATCAGGTTGTCAAAGATGCAGAGCAGGATCTGGAGATTGCCAAGTTGGAGGCTGAGAAGGCTAGGGAACGACTGGCCAACGTGAAGCTGCAGATCCGAGAGCAACAGAAGACAGCCAAGGGTGTGTAGACATGAAAGTTTTCTGCAAGCCAGTGTGCATTTGTGTTTTTTGTGCTACAGGGCTATGAGGACCGGCAGTGCTGTTCATTTATTGTCTTCTGTGAGTTTAAGTGCAGTTGGTACCAAATTCATTAGAGAGCAGACTTAACTGCCACCTGTCTCTTGGGACTTCAAAAGCAGCTGGGTTCATTTCCACTTTTTTTAAACAGCTCTAGTGTCAATGAACGGCACTATTTCAAGATTTTCAAGTGGTAGATTTTGAAGGGGAACACAGAGAAATTAAGACGGGAGGAGCGCACATGAATGAAGCTTCTTTATGTGGACACTGGATCTTTTTTTACTAGTTGCATTGCTCAAAGGTTTTAAGGGGACATCCAAAGTTTTGTGAAGAATTGATATGGAGCATTTTCAACCAGTGATGCCCTGTGTGAGAGGCATGACTGGTATATCCCTTGGGAGGCTTTTAAAAACCATTTAGTTCAAACTAGACTTTTGCACAAGAGGCAGTTGTCCTCAAAACCTTCACAGGACTTGACGCAAGTAACATGCTGAGCACTGACAAAGGACTTTCTTGCATTTGAAATGAATAGCTTGTGACTTGATTTCAGATTGGAGGACTGTATGTTGGTCTCATGATGGCCTTGCGGGGATCTTTCATCGGTCTCAAGGGGTCCCAAGGCAGTTACAATTGGACATACACATTGCCGGTTTGCTCATTTACAGCACTTACATTAATACACCTGAGCATGGTACGCACTCACAAATGTTACCAGGGCGGCACTAGTTGGGATCTCCTTGTCCAATGTGCCATTGCAGTAGATCAAGCTATTCAGTACATAAGCCCCCCTTTTCTTGTAGCAGTGAGCTTTCCTTCCCTCGGTTCATGTTACATTCAGCATCAATTTTTCTAGGACTTGACGGTGAGCCAGAGGTTGGTGTTAAGGCCAACATCAAAGAACTCCACGACGTTCTCATGCGAGATGTGGGCGATAAAATAAAAAGTGACGGCAGGTAAGAAAGTGTCTAGGTGCTCACTAGGTGAACAGTATAGCTTTAAACCTTCCGACGCAAGTATCTAAGAAACCCAGGGTTGATTCCTATAGTTAGTTTAGGTATGTGTTCCCCTGAGACAGGATTAGCGATTATTCAGTTTGCCCTTTTCTGTTCCATCTTGTGACATTAAGGGCAAATCCGTCTGTGAATCCGTCTGTTAATGCAGAGGAGGTATCTGATTCCATTTTCTTAGCTTCATTTACCGGGAAGAATATCGAATTAAACAAGTCATCAAGGTTTATCCTGAAGCCCCTCATAGAATCCTGCTAAGCTTCCAAAACGTTGAGGTAATGAAACCTGAAGTTTCTGTTTAATTTTGCATTTCCCTTTAAAAATCCTCACACATTCTGACAGACATGCTGAAAGGGATGCACAACGTAAGTGTGACAATTCAGCTTTTAAGCTTATTTCTGTTTCTTCTCTTTTCTTTTTTTCAAATCTTTACTCTGAATTTCAGCTTTATACACCTGCTCTAGCCTCTACAACAATATGGGAACTTTCTTAAATTGCAGTTTTCTGCTGGCTGTTTTTTTTTTGTACGAGGCCACTCACACTTCTGTTAAAAGTGAGAGGTTTTTTGCACAAGATGTGTTCACCAGAAAGAGAGAAAGCCAATCCGATCTGTAGTTCTGAAGTTATTAATGTGACGCTAGAGCTCTACTTCCAAAAAGGAGCCACTGTTACCTAGCTCCTGCGAAAGCTTACCCAGTTTGGAGATAACCCACAAAGCACAGCCTTAACCTGTATCCGGTCACATGACTTGTCATGTGGTTTTCTAGAATAATGTTTTTTGTTTGTTTTGCATTGGTTGCAGGTGGCCTTTGTTGATTGATCCATCAGGCCGGGCATCCACCTTCCTTCGCTACCAAGACACCAACTTGCTCAATGCCTTGAATCCTAACCATATGCAACCAGAGGTTATAAGGATGGCCGTACTAGGGGCAATCAGGTAAAATGCCTGTGTTTTTATTCAGTTTATGCACTTATTTTTAAATGACATCTTATCAAATGAAGCTTAAAACAAGTATTGTACAAATTGAATGTTGGTAGGTATGCATGTACATGAATATCAAGTGAAACATCACACTGAAAACATTCTCCCTAAAAATGCATGTTCATTGGGCTTTCTGTTATAAAAGCACAAAAAAATACCAGAGTCAAATCCTCCATGCGCAAACACTAGAAAAAACCCTTGCCAAAATGGTCCTGAGATTTTCACTGCATCTCATTTGATACCATTGACAGTTTTATTTGACGTCATATTTAATCCAAAAAGTTGACATCCTGCAAACAGCAATATATGATACATTGCATAGTCGCTGGTTTTTTTCTGGTTAGATGCAAGAAGTTCTCATATTCGTCTCCACTTGCCTTGATGTAATTGGTTTGATTTCTGTCAATTTATTTCAAAACGAGGGAAAGATATTTTCTATTGTTTTAATAATCAAATGTCAGTGGCATGTTCAGGACAACAGTTTGTCTCTTAAAAGATTTGGATTACGGTCTTCGACCCTATTTCATTTTTTGTTAGATTTTGCTGAGAAAATATTCTGGTGAAAACCAGGATATGCTTGCGATCAAAATGTTTGGACTCAACATAGTTTGTTTATTAAAGTTTCAGTGGCATGGGATCGGAGCTGTTTACAGTGAGAGTTGCGACATGAGCATGTCAAATTCTTGGAACCAAAATGGTGGATCATGCATCAAGGCACGGACAACTATCACACAATAGCTGCATTTTGTACTGCACACATAATGACGAGCCATTTTGGTTCCAAAATCTGAACGTAGTGCTATACTCTCTCTGTATACAGCTCTGGCTGGGATGAGGCATTTTAGAAGCTGTTTGCTTTTGTTTAGGTTTGGCAAACCTCTCGTCCTGGACATGCTGGAAGTTGACATGTTTGAGACGTGCACCGACAGATTCAATGAAGTCCACGTAGGTTTAATGGAAGACATCCTGTCTAAAGAGCTCATCAAGAATGAAAAGTAAGCCCTGGATGGAGCAGATAATTGACAGGCTTGAAATTGACATGGCAACAGAACCGGATAAGCTTAGACAAAGAGTTAATTTCCTTTTCTTTAAAGGGCCAACTTGTTTCAACACAGTCCTTGAAAATTGTGTGTTGACCAACTTCAGGTTTTTTGCTTTTCTTAAAACATATTTGGCTGCTTTTTCAGCTTTACACTTACGAACTTGAGATACCCACATTCATGAGAAGAAGGTTGATGGGTAATTCCAGAAACAAGGGGTCCATTTGTTTTCGTGTCCCTGTCAATTTTCGTACTTTTTAAAAATGGTTTTTAAATTTGCACCAAAAGTGTGTCTTATAATACAATGTTTTAAAGTTGATAAAAATTTTACATTTGAAACCCGGTGTCAAAATAAAGAGAGATTGTGCTGTTGTATGGAAGAAAATTGCTGTTTGTCCTATACACTTTGTTGAAGAGTCATCAAGAAAGGTGTTTGCAGGTCTAAGGGATGGAATCTACTTGCTATAAATGCTGATAATTTTGATTTTTATACGATCTTCATACTTGGTTTTAATTTTTGGTTCTCAATAGATATGTTTACCTGATCAAGGACTGTGATGGTCCGGAGTACAGTAAGAACAACTTCAATGACCAGCGCACTCAGCAGTTCAAGTTTGTCATCGTGACCAAAATAGAGCCGGCAGACTCCCTGCTGGAAAGAACCTACCCAATCAGGATAGTCGTTGGATGAGGACAGGCTGGGATTGAAATATAATGCAAAGCCACATCTGATTGGCCGTCGGTGTTGTATTCATTTTGGTAGCCTTGACTATGGCTCCCTTGAACATGATGTAGACGGCAGTAGGCTTAATGTAACAGTAACACCTAGAAGCAGACTGCTTTGAGCCATCGCGACAGCTCTGGAATACTTGGTAAAGCTGCTTCAGGCACACAAAATTTCTGTGAAATTTAGAGTTTTTATATTTTTTTTATTGTGTAAAGTCTATATGGACTTGAACCACTCCATGTTCACTCCATTTTAACACCCGAAGTAAAGGTGCGGACATTCTCACAAGGTTTGTATTCAACAGTACCCATTTTTCCCTTCTTGAAAAAGCTCCATTTGTCCTTTCTATTTTTAATGCCTCTTATTTTTGCTGTTGTGATCACAGACTTTCGATTGTCTACTTTCTGCATCTGTCGTATGCTACCAAAGAGATTTATTCCCTGACTGTACAGTTCTTACAATCCGTCCAAAGAATTCTTAAACCTAGTCAGTTTTCCGTCCAGTCTTGATGTAAAAATTTTATTACCTCTATAGGCCTAATTTACCAACAAGTTTTGACTATCACTTTGTATAATTTTCATTTGATGCTTCCTTTCTTGATTTCGCTGTAATTTTGTTGTACACATGTAATTATTATTCCATTTATTAAACTCAAGTAGAGGCTGTATTACTTACTGTAGTAAGTCAGGTCACCTCTCCCATTCCAAACCGATGAGCTGCTATTGGATTAGACTCGGACTTGAAGTTGTGTAGGCCTTTTGAGGTGTGAAATTCTAAACTGACACTAAAACAAGGTTTGCATTTCCTGCAGTTTACGGGCCATATGCTTCCGTTAATTGTGAAATCTAGCGCCCAAATTCTTGGAACCAATTTTTCAATATCTGCTTGCCTCCCCAATCCCTTAATTCTTACGCAAAAATGACTCATATGGAAAGCCTGGCTTAGTTGCTGATTCTGGTTGATTCTACCTCCATGGTTGCTGTCGGTAACATTGTTTCAGCATAAAGCAGCGGTAATATCTCGTCAAGGTAGGTCGGGGAAGTGGCGTACATGGAGGTCTGGGACTGAGAACAGGAATCCCCCCCCAAAAAAATAGGCGCACCGTCCTTTCGTAATTCACCCTTAAGAAGCAACCCCCATGAGGTGATATCTAATATAGACTTAATACGCTGATGTATTTCTCCCCCCCCCAACTGCCAGCATGCCCCGCCCCCTCCGGATACACCACGGGCAAGCTTCTTAATATTTTGTGATCCCCGGGTTCTACAATAAGACATGCCATAATCAGGAGGGATCATAGCAAAATCCCGAATTTTGGACCGATAGTTTCAAGTTCGGGATATTTCTTTCACAAAAGCCCCAAATTGTGGGCCTTTTTTTATAGACTCGTACATGTTAGAGGTGGGCGGCTACATTCAGAGATGAGCGCATAGTTTTACTACTATTTTGGGGGGATATCGCCGAGGAAAGGCGAATAAAAAAAAATTTGTGGCTACCCCCCATAAAATTCAAACTAAAAGTGATCTTCTGGCCATAATCTTGAATTTCCAGTGAAAAATCGGAGACCAACCGCTTGACGATAGTCAACGGGTGAGGCTAGTATAAGCCAGGCACTCCGTGCATGACGTCACGTCGCGTACGCAAAACATCACTGCATGAAAACCCATTTACTTAACACAGATATGGTGGACCGACTACGGACTACACAGTAAACATGGAGGAAAGAACAACACACTCACGACAAGGTCACGCATGTAGGATGAGTTACAATTGGGTATTCGTACATGGGCCGTTGAACGGAGCCACACGCGAAGTGACGTCATGCGCGGAGTGCCTGGCTTTTAGCCTTATCAGACCGAAATAGCGCCGCCTGTTGACTCTCACCTGAAAGCCAACAGGCGGCCGGCTCTATTTCGGTCTGATTTCGCACTGATTTCCGCGTATTTGGAGTAAAGTGAAGCACAGTAGTCTTGGGGGCGCTGTTGCTTGTAACACGACCGCCAACTCTACAGAGGGCGCTATTGTATTTTCATTACCTGTTAGCTTCAGCTCAATTGAGGGCGCTACTCATTTTATCAATAGAGGGCGCTGAATATTTTATCAACAGAGGGCGCTATATTATTTTTCAATAGAGGGCGCTAAATATTTGAAGCTTTGAATTTTTATCCCGATGGAGGGCGTTATTTACTTCCGAATTTTAATTCCCGCGGAATGCAAGATTGACAACCGGAGTTACAACATGTGCAAGACGAGCATGTCTCGTAGCATGGAGGCGTTTTCCGTCTGACACGGGTAGCACATCCGACATGTCCGAATCTACATTTGTAATGTCTGTCAAGGTAGGCTTTTTAGTAATATTACTATAGGCCCTCAATACATTTCAGTCTAAAGTAGGAACCACGTTCTTTCTTTGCTGTTTTTAAGTCTTGCTACACAAGCAAACTTTACTTACTTTTTTCTTTACCCTGTCAACTTGGATGAGTATTTGGCCACACAAAGAATGATGAAAATGAGAAAACGGCAGGTAAGAAAGCCGTCACTTTTCAGTCATCAAATTTTTAATGGTACACTGTATATTTGGCCATGGTGCTACCTAACATGTTAAGTTCTGATGTGCTTCTTGTAAAACTAAAAGAACTCACTTCAAGAAATCTCCACTCGCAAAGCCACCAGTTTTGTGATTTGCAAAAAACAGAAACATGAGAAAGCAGTCCTTGGTAGTGTCTTTTGTTTGTGCAGGAGTCAACTGGCTTATTGTAAAGATAGACCATGTCCAAATCAACTAGCTTAGGCTGACAGTTGTACATAAGTGTATAGGAAATGAACGCAGCCACTCACCTGTGGCTTACCTATAGTTGTCTCACTTCTAGCCTCAGCCATATTTCTTGGACGTTGCCTTAAACCCCAAAACTCTTTGAAGTGTCCTGTTCAACATACTTTCCAGGAACATGTATTTGCCAATGCACACAGAGAATAATGCCACTTTCTTTTCTTATCTTTACCAGGTGTTGAAGGCGATAGCAGCTTTGTTGGTCCCCTGCCTGTGAGCTCATCTTCTGGCATCACTGCCCTGATAGAGTAAGGCGGTAGCAGCTTGGTTGGTCCCCTGCCTATGAGCTCATCTTCTGGCATCACTACCCTGAGTAATAGAGTAACCCAATTGCAGCTTGGTTGGTCCCGTGCCTGTGGGCTCATCTTCTGGCATCACTGCCCTGATAGAGTAAGGCGATAGCAGTTTGGTTGGTCCCCTGCCTTTGGGCTCATCTTCTTGCATCATTGTTCTGATAAAGTAAGTCATCCTTCAATTCTTTCCTTGCAAATTGTAAAACATGATTGGGTACTTATAACAATTTTTCCTTTTTTCGGGGTTGCCACAGTCACAGAAAATCCTCAAAAAGTCACCGTGAAAATTAACAATAAATTCATTCAAAATTGGGGAAAATATTAGTCTTGAAATCTGCTTATTGGGATAAATATCATGGAAAACACACAGAAGTCATGGAAATCAAAATCACATCAGGATTATTGTTTGATGGACCACTTTTGATGATGTGATAACAAAACAATGACAGATTTACAGGCTGCNATCACGGCCCTGATAGAGTAAGGTGATAGAAGCGTGGTTGGTCCCCTGCCTGTGGGCTCGTCTTCTGGCATCACTGCCCTGATAGAGTAAGGCAATAGCAGCGTGGTTGGTCCCCTGCCTGTGGGCTCATCTTCTGGCATCACTGCCCTGATAGAATGAGGTGATGCAGCTTGGTTGGTCCTGTGCCTGTGGGCTCATCTTCTGGCATCATTGTTCTGATAAAGTAAGTCATCCGTCAATTCTTTTCTTGCAAATTGTAAAACATGATTGGGTACTTATAACAATTTTTCCTTTTTTCGGGGTCGCCACAGTCACAGAAAATCCTCAAAAAGTCACCGTGAAAATTAACAATAAATTCATTCAAAATTGGGGGAAAAATTAGTCTTGAAATCTGCTTATTGGGATAAATATCATGGAAAACACACAGAAGTCATGGAACTCAAAATCACATCAGGATTATTGTTTGATGGACCACTTTTGATGATGTGATAACAAAACAATGACAGATTTACAGGCTGCAGATTTGCTCATTTTGAAAAAAAAACTCTTTAGTTTATGATTGAAGAAACTAACTTCACCTTTATTAGTATTCTTTTGTCATTTTTCCCCTGCGTTTAGATTTGGGAAGGCCTCATTGCCAGCTGAATGTACTGCCATGGCTGCTTACACGAAGGATGAGGCTGGCTAGCGTCATGGTGCGAGTGGACTGACCGATGAAATCTCCAAAGTGAAGAGGCAGGTTACGTCAGAAGTAGCACAGGTAAGAGTCCTGAGCTACATATCATTGCTGGCTTTCAGTATGGGTGGATCCGGGAGAGGGGGGGGGCATTGGTGTATGTATGAACTTTGAAATGTAGTTTAATGCTCCAAAATATTGTCCTTCAAAACAAGTCAACCCCCCCCTTAGAGAATTTTGTCTTGGATACAGCTTTGGCTTTTTGCCAGCAAAAACCAATGAATGCTTTTGGTACAGGGCAACCCTCACCGAGGGAAGGTTGTGTGTGCTGTGTTTTAACAAGCAAGACAGTGGGGACAAGGTGAAACCCTTGTAACCAGGGCAAGCTAGTTGAATGCATCCACTTGACTGGAATGGCTCTAATTTTTCTGGCCTAACTTTCCTTTTCTTTGATGATTCATTGCTATTTCATGGCAAATTACCAATGATTAATGGCTACCATTTCCTGAGACTTGTTAAAGGAGCAAGATTAGGTTTCACAATTTTTAAACAAAACTCGTAAAATAAGCATTCTCCCTCTTGCCATAAAAATTAAAATGCCTGGACATTGTAGATTGACATTACTGTACAGCGCCCTCAATTGTCCAGAAAGGCATGATATCACTGCTCAATTCACTTCACCCAAAAGGGATGTCAGAGAGGTTTTTAAATTGTTAGTTTATTCCATCAGAAGTCCTGTCATGAGTAACAGATCAGAGTCCTTTCATCCAAGTTCATTCTCTGAGTTGAAAATAGTTGAAAATGATAGACTTGGAGGGACTTTGTGTCCA